TTTTATAATAATCAAATTATCTGATAATTTTGAAATATGTACCATAAAGTGATTATAATTCTATTTCAGTTGTTTATTAACTAATGGAAGCTTCCGAAGTAAGAACTTAAAAGGGCTGAGCATAGATAAGTCTAGAAAGTAGATCGAACTTGAAGTTCAACTATATTTATTTAATTTTACTTTGCTTTTTTAATACTATTTTGAACAGCAGTTTTGCCTATAGGTTATGATTAAAGATATAAAAGGATTAATAGCTTAAAAAAGCAACGACAATAATGAAAACACCAGCTCTATTGATAAGTAAATTAATCATCTTTCGGATAAGAAACAAATTTAACTATTGGGACAGGCCAGCGGCCTCTCTAATATCATAGCACTGTTAGCTCTCTCATGCCGCAGTCTCTCACTGCTGTAACGGCAAATACTCTCTCGTTTGTAATGTAAGCCTGCGGGCTTGAAGAGAGCTTCCTGCGAGCTTGAATAGAGCTTCCTGCGAGCAGCGATGATTTAGTCTTAAGTCCACGATATATTGTTTGTGTGACATCCTTTTACTTCCACACTATTCTATTTCGTTCTATTTAAAGGGTATGATTAAGGTATATGCAGAATGTAAGAATTGAGTGGAGAACCATATGATAAATATGCCTGAAATAAAATTATATTATTCCGTCCCACTGTGCTTCCAATAGAAAGCAAGAAAGTCAAGACGGGCGGCAAGTAAGGCAGAGTTGGGCAGGCCGTAGTAGGCAGTCGGCCGAATACGAATACGAGTACGAGTAGTAGCAGTAGCGCGGCAGCAGCAGCAGCAGCATCTGCGGCAAGCCCCAGCCCCAGTCCCAGCCTCAGCCCCACAATTTCCGCCATTTATGACAGTCACAAATCGAGTTATACACACACCGCGCGCCGTACTTTCTAATTTCTAAGCACACTTTTTCTCTTCACTGCTGTGGTGTTTCGGTTTTATTTGATTTTATTTTGTTTAGTTTTGTTGCCTTGTGTTGTTTTCTAATAAACTTTTGTGCCATTATTTTTATTTGCCTGCGCAAACAAGTTTTTTTTTTTTGTTTTTTGCCGCGTCAGTCACAACAGCAAAACATCGGCAACAAAGTGTTAAATTAGGCAGCCAAGAAAGAAGAAGCCCGACCCGGCCTGGCCCAACTGAGCCATAGATATAAAATAGCATGTGCTGAAAATTTGCAGCAGTTGCAGTTACATTTTATGTAAATTTCTATTAAACGTAGCGTTTTGGAGGTCGTGCGTTTAAATCGGCAGCATCAGAAGCAACAACATCAACAGCAACAGCAACTGCTGCAATGGAACCGGCAACATTCCTATAACAATGGCCACAACAATTTAAGTGGCAGTGGCAGGGAAACACAGGTAGAATGTGCGATTTGTATTGTATGTTAGTTGATAGTTGATGGCTAATGATCGGTGGAGCAAAAGGAATGCAGGAAGAGAATACACGTACATACTACTCGTATATGATCATCATTAGAAACGATTGAAAGCGCAATAAAGCTGTAGCTTCGATTTATTGGTATCAGAACTATATAAATTGCAATTGCTTTTGTATTTTCAATTGCTTATAAAATTATTCATTTTTTCAACTGTATATAATAATCTTCTAACTTCGTCGTAATGGTTTAGAACTTATTTTTATAGCTTTGTCTACGAGTATTGCCAATTCATCTTTTATATATTGTAGGGCCAGAGGAGCTATATACCCTGATTAGTCTTAATTTAAGAATAACACCATAAATATGTTTCGATATTTCCAAGAGACAGAGATATTGTATTATAGCGTATGGGAATAATATTTTCTAGACACTATTAAGCTAACTGTCAACATCGTTGAGGACAAATATAGTATAAACTAATTTATACTGATCACAGCATGCAACCAAGACGGCACTGAAATTATTGAGAAGCGCAAAGAGGGGCGCAAAAATGCTGGCTGAGGCAGAGCTTAAAGTTGTTTGTAATGGAGGTTTGTACTAGATGGTTGTTGTTGCTGCTCCTATACTTGAATTAATGCATTTGCTGGGTACCTCATATGCTGTACCGCATTTGGAATGCGACTTGGAACGCATGGTTCAGCATGTTCCATACCTCGATCGCTCGTTGTCATTTCAAGGCGCGCCAATGCAAAAAGCTGGCAGCTACATTTTTGCTCTGCTCTCAGTATGTGTGTGTCAGTGTGTGAGAAAATGTTGCCAACGGTAATGGAAGGCGCAGCAGCAACCACATGCAACATAACTGGCCTAAAGGAAAAAAGCGTGCTGATATGCCTCGTATATGCGGCGAGATTTTCCAGCGATGCGACAGGAAACTTAAACTAGTTCTAGTAACTACTTACTACTGCTTCACTAGCTTCTTGGCATTGCCATAGTCCAGTAAAGTGGGACACTTGTTGTGGCCAGTTGCCTGCCCGCCTAACGCTGCTAACCTGCCTCATACCTCTTCAATAGGCAGAGCTTAATGGGCCCAGCCAACAGGCATACCAAACTTCCCACGCAGACTGGGAGCGGCAAGAGACAACCTAAATTGTCTTAATGGACCATGAAGCTGATACGCAGCAGGCGCGTTAAAATAAAAAGCGACCAATTATAAAAGGCAGCGCACACAAACAAACTCCAGCAGACACACGCACACACAGATCTCTGCTCAGGCCAATGATGGTGCATGATAAGAACAAAGCGGCCCAAAAGGAAAAGAAAGTTTCTTGCCCATGGACACAGCGATTTCATTGACAAAATTAATATATACATACTTATGTACATACATACATACTATATGTATATGTATGTACATATATATATGGTCGATTGAACTTTGCATGCCGCATGAATCGAACTACACATATTAATACATTTACATAAATATTAAATTGATTATTTAAGCAGGTGATGGGTGAAACTTTTAATTCTAAAATTCAAGTATTTGGGTTTTGAATTTCTCAAGGTCTTAGTGCCGTCTTATTTCAGGAAACGAAGGACGGACTCGTTATTTCAAGCCGCATGAATCGAACTACAAATATTAATACATTTACACAATTATAAAATTGATTATTTAAGCAGGTGATGGGTAAAACTTTTAATTCTAAAATTCAAGTATGACAAAATTCAATTTGGCTTTTGAATTTCTCAAGGTCTTAATGCCGTCTTATTTCAGGAAACGAAGGAAGGACTCGCTCTGCTAATGCTACGCACTCACTCTAAAATAGACATTTTTACTTTTAGGCAGTTAGCTCTCAATTTGGTAGCATTGTGTATTGTATTGAAATACATAAGTAGGGTGTGCAGTTGGTTTTGGTTGCTGTTGTTGTTTTTGTTGGTGGTACTATTGCTGCTGTTGCAGTTACCGCTTTGGCATTAGTTACAGATTTTCGATACACAAAATTGACTTTACATTTCTCTGTTGTCGCTGTCGCTGTCATTGTTATTGCTGTTTCTTCTAACAGCAGTCGCTCGGTCATCGCAACAGGTTGCTGTCATTGCTGTTGCTGCTGCTGCTGCATTTTTATCTTTTGCTCTGCCTCCTCTTTCACTCACTCTCTCCATCTCATACACACATTCAAACACACATATACACGCATGCGCGCGCGTATTGATTTGCTGCACATTTCAAAATCTGTTGCCTCGCTGTTTGTTGTGGCCGACGATGCTGGCGCTTTTGTTGTTGTTGCTTTTGTAGCTGCTGCTGCAACAGGTAAAATGTTGCTGCCTCTTGCGGCAACTTGTATTTGGTTTTGTTTGATCTTGTCTTATTGTTGAGCGTTGTCGTGTATCTTTCTGCTGCCTCACTCGATGCCGTTGCAGTCGCTGTTGTTGTTCTTGTTGTTGTTATTCCCTCTTGTTTCACTGTGAAATTTATTGGCGCATATAAATGCCTCAAAATTGATGTTATTGTCATTTTGGACCCGCTGTTGTTGCTGCGCCTGTGACTGTGATGCTCTGTTAAAATTCTTTTGGTTGCTGTTTGTTATTTTATTTGTATTTTTTTTTAGTTTTCTATTTTGTGTCCTGCTTTTGTTCGCTTGTTGCTTCTGTTGTTGCTGTTGTTGTACTTGTTCTTAAATTGATTTTTACTTATTTTTATTGTTGTCCAGATAAGTGGAAATGGGTTCGGGTGTCCATTTGATGGCTCATACTTATCGCGTATGTTTATGCACGTGCATGGGAAGAAAAACAGAGAAGTGTGGGCAGCGTGAAAGTGGGCGTTCCCAAATGCCAGAATAGAATAGAGCAATTTGATATTGGGACACGGAACCAGGGAATAGATGAAGGGAATGGCTACATATGTATGTACATAAATATGCATGAGTTAATTTTGTTAATTTGTTGTCTTATGAAGTCAGCAAACGTGACAGCAATGGGCGAAACTCAAATGTTCAATATATTACAGAGAAACAAAACACCTTGAAGGAACTAATAATAGTAATAAATATGTATATATATTACACACAAACATACATACTTATGTATGTATATAGTATATGTTGTTTAAAAACATTCAAATGCTGTAAACTAAGTCTTAATACGTATGTGTCAAGTTCAACTTTTTGCATTTCTTTAACACCTCTTCATTCAATTAAGCTTTATAACGACTCCAAAATCTTTGATATGAATTCAAAATATGATATTTTACAAGACTGAAGAAATGGCTCCGGTTAAAAATTCAAGACAAGCTGTTTTGAACTACAAAATTAAATATAACTCATTTTGTTTTCAGTTCTAAGCAATTTATACAAAAAAAAAAAAAAACAAAATAAAATAAAAAAGCACGAAGTTAAGAAATAAAGCTATTGCATAGTTTAAACAAATCTTTGTTGGGGCGAAATGTAAGCTCTTCTTTCCGCAATAAACGAAAAATTGTTTCTTTATGATAAACAAAATCAAAATATTTGTACGAGTACAGCTATAGAAAAGGCTTAGACTCCTTAACATGGACAGAGGGATAAGAATGAATTCCTTTCCAAATGGCGCATACATACATACCTATTCTCAACTGCTGTTGCTTTATTTTTAATGAAGCTCGCTTTACTCCGGTTTTTGTTGTTCCTTTTTTAGCAGAGAGACGCTCAATTGTAAATGTCCCTGTGGTTGCAAGTTTTTGTTGTTGTCGCAGTAGAGCTTACAGCGGGCTGTCTACACAGATATGTATGTGTATAAGTATGGGTGTAGCGTGGCTTTGCGTATTTATATTTTTTAGCCTTGTCCACTACCACAACATTGGAGGCTGTCGCAGGTCCAACGCGTGAAAAATTGCGCAGTTGAGTAGTCGTAGTTGTTGTTAGTGCTGCTGCTGCTATAGCTTGCCGCACAACAACAACAAATATTTGCAGACGCATGCGCAACGCTGCCGCATTCCCATTCTTATGCCGCCTTAGACGCACATTTAACAGTAAACAGCCACCGCGTCTAATTGTTTAAGCAACAAAAACAATACTTTACACCCATCAATGGCAATAACAATATAAATGTTCGTTATTTGTTTGTTTATTGCACATAGACAAACACACACAATTGCACACACAAAGTAACAAATTTTTCGCGCACTCGTTTTTTGTATGTATCTTTTATTGGCTTGAATTTTCCTGCCTGCCCTTTTCAAGACAGCAGCCAAGACCAAGACGCAGGCGCAGACGCCTCTTGCTGGCTTTTTGCACACACATGTACATACATAAGTAGATATAAACGCACGCGCTGCTCTTTATTTTTCGTGCTGTAGCCGATCCACAAACGAAGCTGCGGGCTTTTGTTTACTGTTTGTATAATTTTTCATTTATAACTGTGTTCCACACAATTGTTTAATAAATAAACCACGCGTTGGTTGTGAATTTCGTTAAAAACTATTTGAAATATGTTGAGACCGGCGATTGAAAACACCGCGCCAACGACGTTCACGCAACGGAATTCCCTTTTCAACTGATATTCGTATGGGCAGCAAGGCATCGATACATTTAGCTAAGCCGATGCCTATTGCGTTATTTGTACTAAGGTGGCAACGACACCGCTGTGTACATCAATAAGAGTTACCAGGCGTAAGTTTGTTATATTAAGCTGTGTAAATAGGCGCTTTGATTTAAATATGTGTGATTATAATATAATTGTTAGCTAAGCAAGTGAAACTTGTTCTTTTATATGAATTTAATAAATAATTAGCCGTCAAATACCGCACAAATTAATTGATACTAATCGTTTTGTCTCTTTCCCCTATAAGCTCAAAGATCAATTTATGTTTCCGTACAGTATATTAGCTGAACAGCTATGGGAGCTTACGCTGACAATTTAGCTGGGAGGTTTTCATTATATGAAATGACGCATCTACAGACATACTTGTATGTATATGTAAAAATATTTGTAGTATGGTTGGTGCCAAGGGTTTTTGAAGATGTCTTTGCAGTCGATGATAAGTGGCATATGAAAAATAAAGGTTTTGGTCATGCACAAATGTTTTTCCACAACATTTAGACAGCATTTAAAGACATCTAATAAAATTAAAATTTCGAAATTTATTGATTAAAAAATATCCAAATGTATCTACAAATATGACAATATCAATAGCTCAAATATTTCTAAAACTTCAATTCAAATTAACAGGTTATAAGTAAATAAATCAAGCCTGCAAATAAAATAGGATAATCCAAATATTGCAGACGTTTTCTTTAAGTTTATCCTAAAATTTTTGGTTCAAGTAATCCACAAACTTATTCAATTTATCATCTATAGTGGATGCGTTCTTAACACTGTTGTACCAAACAAAAATCTTGCCATATTCTTGGCGCTCCGTTGGAGTAAGCGAACTGTCGAACTCTTTAAACTTCTTATCGAATTCGCTTAAATAGTCCGCAAAACGTGTCTCTACCCCATTCTCTAGCGCATCTAAGCCGTTCTTTGTTATAGTAGCCCATATGAGCGCTGTTTCAATGGTCGGTTTTACTGCGGTATCGGTGGTATTATATGCATCCATAATCTCGGAGAATGTGGCAGAAAGCATAAGCGATTCCAGCTGGAATGGCTGACCTTCTTTCCGTGGCTTCAGTTTGCCAGCATCTTCGATGAATTCCGTAAAATTAAGGAGCTTAATACGAAGTTCTTCATTTCCTTCCTTGAGAGGCGACAATTCCTGTACGACTTTTTCAAATATATTTTTTCCTTCAGCTGCTATATATTCAGTTATGCGGGAAATATGCTCCATCGTAAATGAAAGAAGTTGTCTGATTGCTCTAGTTTCTTTCGATTCTTCAGAAGAGGACGAGGACGAACTGTCTTCGGCGGCCACAGCGATCTAAAGAAGTACAGTTTACAAAACGAATGGCTAATTTTTGATTGATGCTTCGACTTACCGTGGCCAACAGCGCTATAAAAAGCAACGCTAGATGTGTCTTTTGTCCCATCTCAAAATATACTGTCGATTTACATCTGGTACCTAAACTCTATTTATACCTATTTGCATGTTAAGAAAAACATATTATAGACAAGGTTATCAAAATTCATATACAAGTATTCTCGAATTGATAACACACAATAGACAAGGTTATCAAAATTCATATATTCTCGAATTGAATCTCGAATTCATATATTCTTTATTAATAAAGCTTACTTATGTTTTAAAGTAAAAACAAAGACACTCATTTGATTTTAATGACGACTGTCTGATTTGCTTTTATTGGTGTCGTAGGGCAGTTCTTTCAACAGCTTCTTTAAATTGTGCTGTGTACCCAGTTTTAAATGAACTTTAATTATTACCTTAGACTAAATACTAAGGACATTTGAACTTATTGTGGATTTATGTGTTCCTTACTTGCTCACATATCTTTGGGACAACCTGCTTGGCTTTCTATTCTAATCGAATGTAGTGTCCTCAAATGGCGTTTATTCTTATGCATTATCAGATTCACTTGATATTAGTTTTTCTGAGCTACTGCTCAATTTTTTCGTGTCTAAATCCTTTTCCTCCTTTTATTTTTGGGTAAGTTCCTTGAAAACGTCCAATCGTATCTTATCTAAATTGCATGAGTGTTTGTAGCAGTCAAAAAGCGGATTACTATCGTAGAGAGTTGGCATAAAGAATGCGAGAATTGTCTTCTCTTGCTTGTCATTTTGGAATGTACTGTTATTTTTTCCTTCCTATTAAAGTACTTTTTAAATCAATATCCCAAAACATGTTGGATGAGAACGCATTTTTAATTCTAGATTGTTGATAGCCTCTACTTTTTAATGTTTATTATCAAACGTGTACCGTAAGACTTATGACATTAAAAGAGAGATTATTATTTTAGGAGAGACCTGATGAAATGGTTTTATATACCGTTGCAGACGGTGGTATACTGCAATTTAAATACGATATAACCTTCCATTTAATATATTCTATTATCTATTAAATATGCATATAATACATATAGCTGCCATTAAATCAATCAGTATATATGTATATACACGAATGTTATATGGTCGGTGCCAAGGGCTTATGAAAATGTCTTTGCAGTTGATGACAAGTGGCGAAAGAAAGTTTTTCAACTTATGCACACTTTTTTCTACAACATTTAAATAGTCAATTTTTACGCAAATACTTTACTGAGCGACATCTTGGAAATTTAAAAAATCTTCTTTTGATCTTCCTTTATTGAATATGCTTTTATTGATTGAAAAATATCCAAATGTATCTACATATATGATACGATTACCCAGTTATTGCACATGTTTTCTGTTAGCTAGTATTATAAATATTGAAACAAGTACCCCAAAAACTTATTTGCTTTTTCTACTAGGGTGGGTGCGTTCTTAACACTGTTATACCAAACAAAGATCTTGCTATTTTCTTGGCGCTCCGTTGGAGTAAGCGAACTGTCGAACTCTTTAAACTTTTTATCGAATTCGCTGAAGTAGACCGAAAAACGTGTTTTTAGTCCATTCTCTATAGCATCTAAGCCGTTCTTTGTCATAGAGGCCCATATGAGTGATGTTTCAAGGGTCGGTTTCACTGCGTTATCGGTGGTATTATATGCATTCACAATTTCGAACAAGGTGACAAAAAGCATATACGATTCCAGCTCGAAGGGTTGACCTTCTTCCCGTGGCTTCAACTTGCCAGCATCTTCGATGAATTCCGTGAAATTAAGGAGCTTAATACGAAGTTCTTCATTTCCTTCCTGGAGAGGCGACAATTCCTGTACGACTTTTTCAAATATAATTTTTCCCTCAGCTGCTACATATTCAGTTATGCGGGAAAGATTCTCGACCGCGAATAAAAGAAGTTGTTTGACTGCTTCAATTTCTTTAAATTCTTCAGAGGAGGACGAGCTGTCTTCTGCAGCCAACGCGAACTAAAAAATCACATATTATATTTAATTATATAATTATTTAATTATATTATTAATTTTGGACTTTAGTTTCGTCTTACCGTGGCCAACAGCGCTATAAAAAGGAACGCTAGATGTGTCTTTTGTCCCATCTCGAAATGTACTGTGGAATTACTTTTGCTACCTAATCTCTATTTATACCTATTTGCATGCTATGTAAAACAAATTACGGACAAGGTGATCAAAATGCATATATTCTCGAATTGATAACCTACAACATAATAACACATATTTGGTATATAATTGATAATTTGTCGTGTACTTTATTCATAAAAAACGTAGGCGCTCATTTGATTTTAACGGCGACTGTCTGATTTGCTTTTATGGGTATCGCAGGTCGGTTCTTTACACTGCTACTTTAAACTGTGCTGGTACCCAGTTCTAGATGCTCTGCAATTATTACCTTATACTAAGAACTAAGGACATTTTAACTTATTGTGGATTTATGTTTTCATCACTTGCTCACATCTCTTTTAGACAACCAAGCAGGCGTCCCTTCTAATCGAATGTAGTGTCCTCAATATGGCGCTAATTCTTGACTTGATTTTTGTTTTTCTGAGCTACTGCTGAACTTTTTAACAATCAAAAGAGGGTTTACTATCGTAGGAAATTGACATAAAGAAAGCGAGACGAGTGTTCTCTTGTTTGCCGTTTGTTTTTTTTTTTTTGCCATGAAAATACTTTTCAAATCAATCGGCCATAAAAAAGTTAGATAAGAATGCATTTTGAATTCTATATTTTTAATAATCTCTACTTTTTAATAAGTATACGTATGTATAATTAAACGAGTACTATAACACTAAGAAATAAAATTAGAGATTATTTTGGGAGAGCTGACGAAATGGTTTTATATACCGTCGCATAGGGCATACTGCAATTTAAATACGATATTTCTTAATTTTATATTTTATTATATTATCTATTTAATATATAACACATATAGCTGCAATTAAACAAATGTGGCGTAAATAAAGAAGGTTTTTATTAGACCCAATGATGGTGGACAGCTTGACAAATCGAACCATTGTTAATATAAAAACAAAACTTCGGCCTAAACAATATGCGATGCTATCAATTAATAGAATAAGATTTATTATTCAAAATTCTGCAGAGTAATATTTAATTCACCCGAATTGTGTTTTACTAAATCCTATTTCAAAATTTTGTATTTTTTTAAAATTGAACAAATAAACTAAACTAAACTTGTATTAATCGTTCTTTATATAATAAACTAATCCAAAATCTTCACAAACAAGCGATTATAGTGCAGAAATTGTGAATTCTGCGCATGCCGTATCCATTTTTCATATATCTCCAGTGAAATGAGCCACGGATTACCTTCCGGCTTTACAGAGTAGACATCAGTCTTGTTGCTAAATGGCAATTCCACCTCGTTAGCCACGCGTTCTTTGAAGGCGCTGCTATTGAACTCCTGGTGGGACTTCAGCGCCAGAGTCGCAGCGTCCAGAAACATGGCCCAGCGAGGCTTATAATAATCTCGGACCAGGCCTGACCACTGTTTGTTTGCATAGTCGAGTATCTGACCCGTAGGACCCCAAGCTGTCAATTGATTGCGCGCATTGAATTCGTAAAGTGGCTGCTCCTTAGCAGAAGTAGCCATGCGCTTGGCAGCCTCCAGCCATGTGCCTAACAGAAAATGCCTCCCGCTGGCCAATACACGCTCCAAATCGTCCAGCAGCTCCAACATTTGACCAGCGATATATTCGAAACGATCTAATTGACCTTTCCGGTACGCGGACTTAAGGTTGACGTACAATTTATCGGCACTCTGCTGCAGAAACTGACGCGTGACATCTATAAGATCGTGCAGGTAGATCTCGTACTTGTCGTCCTCCATTGGTATAGTATCATGTGCTTCCAGCAACAGCTGCCAGGCCTGCACAACACTAGAGCCATTGTACCAGCTCCAAGGCTGTAAATTGAGCGCCGGCCGTCGTGTGATCGTGTACTTGCCGCGCATCTTCTTAAGACCCTTGAAGGCATAGACACTGCCCCTCAGCAGCTGCCAAACTTGAGCGAGATTAGAATTATTCACACCATAGCGCACCAGCGCATAATGATCGAACCACTGATCAAGGGACAGCCTCGACAGGCTCCAACCACACTCCATGGCCAGCGAGTAGAGCACATAGTTTTGGCCAATGCCCTCGGGAGTGATACCTACGCCCACCATGCTGCTATTGGGCATTTGGCGAGCCGATGTGATGCCTTTGTTGACCAGCTCCACCGATCCGAACATGCCCAGTGTGCCGCCAAAGTTGTGCAGCATGCACCACACAAAAGGCTGCCCATAATAGGAGAATGTGCGCTGGTACTGTGGAAATTGTTCGCTTTGCAGATCCAGCACCAGCAAGTGACCGCGCGGCACAGCTGTAAGGAAGGCCTCTATTAATGCGTCCGTCCAAAAGATATTCTTCACAAACATCCAGCCCTGAAGCAGCCACACAGCATCCGGATCCACAGCACTCATAGAGCCATAGACTTGGGCAGCAGTTGCACGCATATAGTCGGCGTCAGCGACACGCGGCTGCAGTTCGTTGAACGGATCGCAGAAGTATATGTGATTGGAGCCATATCGCTGAATCACACGATGCAGGAAATGTGTGGCCACCTGTTTAAAGAGCGGATCCTGTGGTTCCACAAACAAGCCACAGCAATATGGGTCGGGAAATTTGTTCCAGCGCTCGACTTCCGTGTAGCTGGCATTCGGATAAACGCGCCTCATGGCCACTGGCACATGTCCAGCAAAGGCAGGCAGAGCCACACTCATGCCCAGGGATCGCTGAGCCTGCAGAATTTGCTGTTGAAGCAAAACCTGCAGGCGCCGATAGTTTGGAGGCAGTGGACCAGCCCAGCCACGAATGTTTCCCATGCGTTGCCATGCTTGAAAAGCAGGCCCGGCCAAGTGGGCATCGATCTCTTCATCCTCTAGTCCCAGCTGTTTATAAACATCCTGCCAAATGGCCTCCTGAATTGGCGCAATCGTCAGGCTTATGCCCATTAGGGCCATCCAGTCGATATGACGACGCCATTGCCCAAAGTTCCACCACACAAAGCTGTAGCTCCAGGTGCACACGTTCTGATAGTAAATAATAGAACTAGCCGATTGGGAACTATATGTGACATTTGGCAGTTGCACATTTGGTGGCAGTTCAATGTGCGTCTTGAACCAATCCAGATCCTTATTCAGCACATATTTCAGATAATAATGAAAGCCTTTGGCCACTGATACTCCATCCCAGCCAGCAATGAGTACTTTTCCATCATCCAACTGACTGATCTGTGAAAACGTACATAATATAATTTTTTGGACTCCAACCACGTATTTATTTATTTACCTGATAGCTGCGAAATTCCAATAGTTTGTTTACCTCCACGACGAAAAGTTTAGCGGCATTTGGACCCACCACCCGCTGAATTAGCTCTCTAACCGCTTGTTCTTGTACGTCGGGAGAGATGTTGGGTGCCAAGGACTCAGCCAGCTCTTGACCAGGCGCTGCAAAAGCTTTAGGTTCGAACAGTATGATGAGTGCTATAACAGCACACAGTTTCAAAATTAGATCCATACTGATTCCTATTCACGATTACGCGCACACTTGACCATGGCAGGGAAAATTGACCGTGGACATCAACTTAACAGCAACCCGCAGTTGATAATGAACGTGAACTAAAAATAGGGGCCGTGGCTATGAAATGCGCGTATCAGAAAGATCAGTGCACCACTACTATTATTTACTATTTAGTAATGTGAGAGCACAATTGAATTACTAGCGCAAATGCCGCTCACTTGCCCCTCTATCAACACAAACGCCGCTCACTTGCCCCTCGATCAACACAAACGCTGCAACACAGCTGGAAATGTTATTTTGTTATTGCTGCTGCTGCTGCTATGCTGCTCTTATCAGCCACCGGACCTAGGCATGCAAGCAGTAATGACACCAGACAATATGTTGTATATTCTGATCGTTATTAAATTGCTAAAGTTGTAAAAAAGTACAAATAACTAGCACGTTTTTATTAAGTAAATAAAATACTAATTATATGGAGAGTTTCGTTTACAAATTATATTTTTTAATTTGCATAAAGAAAATTCAACAAGTGGTTTTTAAAACAATTTTGCGAGCGAAAATAAATTGTGCATTTACCCACACTGAAAAAGCTGGCCGGCGGAAAAAGCAAAACATCAGTACTGCCGGACGTATAAGAGAACAAGATAATTCGATTGGGTAACAGGGTGGCTAATTTTGTTAATTTCGAATGGATACGTTACGGAACAGAGGAGAATTTAACATTCAACATATTAGATATTACTTGAGACATGTTTTGGAATAACACTCGACACCGAACAAAATAAGTGTTTTGATTGTGTTACCTTCAGCGGTCAAAGCGAACTGAAAAAACATAGTTTATACATGGCTAGTATAGTTATACAATGGCTAATTTTTGATCTATTTTTCGACCTACCCTTGCCAATACTGCTGAGTGAGCAGTGCTTTAAGTGTCTTTTGTCCCAAAATTGTAGTTTAAGAACGAATTATTAATTTGTATTTTACTTTGTATTTTACATCTCTTTTCGACAATAAAGTGAACTTTCTATCCCAATCATATAGTGTCGTTACAAGCAAAATAAATTTTACTTATACATTATTTTGTTCTTTATAGCGTAGTTTTTATTTAGACCTTTGTTATTATAATTATAATTTAATTTTGATTATAAAATGTAGCAAGTGCTTTTAAAACAATTTTAGGAGGGAAAATGAATTGTGTACTTACCCACACTAAAAAGCATCCCGCGGCAAAAGTCACTACGCAAAATATAAACACAACTGTAGTGCTGCCAGACGCTATAAAAAACAAATATTTGTGTGTCAGGGTGGCTCATTTATGAAAAACTAACCGAGCTGGCAACTTGACATTTAGTCAGCGAGCATTTTTACAAGAACTTTTAATTTGTTAATTTTGAATGGATACGTAAAGGGGCAGTGGAGAAATTAACGTAGAGCGTTTAAGAAATTGCCCAAGACATGTCTAATTTAATGCAGCAAGGTAGTTGCAAGTGCAATTTTCTAAACACAACATACGCAATGCGTTTTTTTACTTGGTTATACAATACACTTTGTTTTACCTTTGCAGCTCTGCCTTTGGCAACGAGTCGCACGCCACTCCTACAGTTCCTGCGCTTTCGCGGCAAGATCAACATTCAAAAGCCCCGAGCGCCGCATTATGAACGGGCACGTGTCATTGCCGTTACGACGCCAAAATACCCAGACCCACCAAAAGCTATCACCTGCTTCAAAAAGCGCACTCAGGCCCAGCCAGAGAATCCCTACAATGATATAATTGCGCGCGAGGTGCGCAATTGGCTGGAACACTCCAGCATGGTGGCCATATTCCACCTAAACTCCATCACAGCCGATGAACTCTATGCAGTACGGGTGCAGCTCTTCAAACAAAACATGCACCTGAAGTCGTACGGTCGCAAAATTATCGCTAACGCAGTGGGCGACACACGCTTCGAGGCAATACTGCCGTTGTTTCACTCCAATCACTGCATTGTATTCTCGGCGGACCAACGTGTGGGGACCTTGCTGCGGCTTACGCGTAAGGTGCCGCAAATGGTGCTTTTAGGCGGCATTGTAGAGAACACGCTTCTTAGTCGCAACGAACTTGTGGCGTATTCCCAACTGCCTAATCTGCAGTCGGCGCAGGCGGAACTTGTGCAAACCTTGAACATGGCTGCTGGAAATCTTGTGCAGCAGTTGCAGACACATCAACAAAACTTTGTTAATGTACTCGATGTCCATGCCAAGGGTGTCGAGCAATCGACTGAAGCGGATACCTCAAAGCAGTCGGATAAATAATTGTGATTGTTAATAACAATATAACAGGAAAAAATATGTATTTGTCTTTCATACTAAACTAAGACTAGAGTCCACAACTATCACTAATAGGCAGCCCTAATGCCGTTTCCGAATCCGATCAACTTTTCGTAGACGAAATGCGTAGCAAATCTTTTTCGTTAAAAAGAATTGTGTGAAACCTAACGTTTCCAAATCATGGCTTGGTTGTTTTATTTCAAAAAATGTTCGGAAACGGCATTAGTTCTGTAGATTGCACTTTCCAACGCCTCTTGATACATCTGCTGGCTGGAATGATTGCGTTTTTGTTCCTATTCTCAGCTGCACTGCTCCTGTCTAGGAACTTATCGCCTGCTGTGTTGTGCCGCCTAAATTTGACTCTGTATTGTGGAAACGTTGCCGGCAATTGAAGGCTAGATTTGCTAAAGCCTCGGCTGCATCCAATTCGTCCTTATGGTGTATGGTGTTATAATAATTCTGAACAGCCGCAGTCGCATCGCTAGTAAAGAGTACTTGGGATCTGGGACACGGAGGCGCGTCTTCAACATATTTATGCCTGCAATAAAGCTATGCTTGAAAATGGCCAATGAATTCAATATCATATAGATTCACCTGCGCATATTCCATTCAATGTGATAGTTGTGCTTATCCGGCGTAAACTTGGCTGCACTTTCCAACCACTTGTTGAGTTGTGTGCCCGCCTGCGGGGTCGAATCTTGTCTGCCGGTATCCCGCAGATACTTTTCCATCATTTGTTGTTTGTACTTGGCCTTTCCAACGGGCACAGTTGGCAGCATGGGCACCCGATTAACGTTGTCATTAGTGCCCATAGCATCCACATAGAAATTTGGCTTGTACATTGTTAATGCGTTGTTGCCGTTACCATCGCTTCCTGTGCTGCGACTGGACAGTTCATCATCCTCATACCCATCAGCGTCTTCCTCGTCCACTTCACCGCGAGCTCGCATGTCCTCCTCCCAAATGCTATCCTCGGACGATATGCTAAATTGTTCGACATTTCCGCGAGCATTATGATTGTAGTTCTTGATAAGATGGCCCCAGGATTTCTTAGCCTTTTCTCGCTCCGAGTTCTTCAATTTGCGTCGCCAATTGGCAAACCAATTGCAGATTTGCGTGTATGTTAAGCCCGTTTCGGCTGCCAGGTGCTTCTTCTCATCGCGACTGGGATACGGATTGTCCCGCCGCCTTATAAGCCAATCCTTCAGCATGCGCTTGATGTCGGGTGTAAAGAGACGCTTGGCAGCGCGTGTTGGATGCCCGTCATCTTCCGGAGGCCAGGCACGCCTGCAAAATGGAGAATGGAAAGTGTTGAGCAAATTGTCGGGCTGTTGAGCGCAAAGGGACTCACCTGCTGTGGCGGCGATTGCGCTTGGGACGCGATGATTTCTCCATGACACGGCACACCAACACTACAAAAAAACAACAGCAACAACAAGCCAAGAAATACCGTAAGTGATTGCTCATAATTAATCCAATCGGACCAAAATACGCTGTAAGGCATTTCCATTTCAAAACTTTGGGTGGGTGGCGCTATTTCTGGCACCGAACGTTGCTGAGTTTTCATGTTTTTTGCTTTGTTGTCTTTAAACGAGCTCTCGAGTAATGAAAATAAACTAAGAAATATCGGATAGGTGGGCAAACCAGAGAGGGAGAGCGAAATTGGCGTTGGATATCAAACGATGAAATCAAAACAGCAATAAAATGAAAACCTACAAAGTCAAATGTGGAGAAAATTGGAAGAAAACTGCGACAGGGTCGTGTTTTTTAAATGAGCACAGACACTCTGTCTCTTTAATAATCAGTTTCGATTAATTATATATACTATATGTAGATACATATTAACATATATTCGAGCGAATTCATTGAGAAATTTTTGCCAAACATGTTTAGGCCAACCAGATAATGGGAGACAATCATTTCTGCGCTGATTCTTGACATGCAGTCTTCCAAATATAGGAAAAATATTGCTACCACCTTTAAAATCAAACACTATGTTCAGCATACAAAATATGCTTTGGGATTAAATGAAGCAAAATTATTGTTGACATTCTAATTCGATTTGTGGTAACATTAACAAATTATATAATCCTGAATGAATACAATAGGCTTGTTTTTTTATTGCTGTACTCGATCATCCGTATAATTTTAATTACTACATATCGGTGTATACAAGAAAATCCACGTCCTAGTTTTTCTCTCACCTTTTGCCCTCAAACACCCACCTGTTGTGTTGAAAATGTAAATTTCCAAATTCTTGTACTGGTCGTATTAAATGGCTACTCGATGGCCAAACGTTTCGCTCGACGTACTCGCGCAGACTGATACGCTCAGCAATTTTTCAAAAATGCCCAAATGATTTTCGAAAACATTTTGCCACTCGGAAAACTCACACGTATTATCAACGACAACGAGCGCGGAGGCACTTCTAATCTATTTACAAAATACGAGAAAATATTTAGATGCGCTTATTTTTAATAGTCTCTACAGAGTGGTCGAAGCATTGCCATTAACACACTTTATGGCCGAAACTGAACAATATCTGTATGTGTGTCTGTGTGTTTCTATATCTCAAGCATCCAGTGCAGGGCATATGCTCGACTGCGCAGTCCAATTTGTCGCCAATTCACTTTCGCTCTCAATTGCTTTCTGCAACCATCAGGCATTTGGTGGCCATGGTGGTACGAGTATTAACCCCAGTTCTCTTCTTAAAAAGTATTTATCACTGCGAAATATTGTCGGATCCTACTCACACTCATATAAATATAATTAACGGCAGTAGGTAAAGCTCAAAAGATGCAGTGGAATATGCGTAATTAAACTACATATGTATGTATGTATGTACATAATTTTGCTCGGTACCTAAGAAGGGGTAAAACCAGAGTCGAATTATTAACTTTACGATCTGTTTTAAATTAGTCGTTCTTACATAAGATATAACTCATAAATTTTAACTGATATTTTGTTTTTTGCTAATATCTAATAACAATCTGTCTTAACCATAAAAAGTAAACTTTCGCTAATAATTAAAAAACGATTATTCAATAAAACAACATTAAAAACTACCTAACATTTAAATAAGGTAAATGGAATGAAAAGATAGGCAGCCTTTTCTATGAATAATTTATACACACTCTATTGGCAATGCAAATAAAAAATATTTAATTTAATTATTTAAATATTTAAGTTGGAGTATTTATAAAATAGGGGAAAATTGAAACCTACTTAATACACAATTACTGAACAGTTATTGTTGAAATCAGTAGCCAAAATTTACAGTTATCTTTGTTGCGTTACCACACGTTTCGAATTTACCGCTTGAAGTCAGCAATGCAAAAACGCGTTTGCGTCTTTTAGTGCGTTTTAATGCGCGTCTTTTGCACACTGAGCATTCAGGTCAATTGTTTATATCTAGAACGTAATAAAACGCAGGATTAATCAAGATTTTTTGGACAAAGCTTCGTGTCCGGTAGCTATGAACGATTCGGTGCGTTACGAGCGCGGCCAGCAGATTCAGCTGGGCCCCTTAAACGAATCGCTGGAGGTGGATGCGCTGCGCAGCGGGGAGGTGGAGATTGATCCCCAGGGCACGGGAAACGTAAGTAGTGGGCGCACCATCATTGTCATTGTCGTAAACACTGACTCATGCAGAAACTACATGAAAATACTCGACTAACTGTGGATTTGTTTTTATAATTTCCAGATACTTTGCACCCACGATGGTGTGCTGCTGAAGAAAGCCAGTGCGGAGCATATCTCAGAGCTGAATACTAGTGGGTCGCTATCGCTAGTGGAGTATCAGTCGCACCGTCGCCGCCTTTATCTAGAATGGCATCCAAATGACAGCATTATGATAGCGGACGACAGTCAGGATCAGGGCGATTGGGCGCTGGTTGACAGAATATCAGGTCGCACACGGACCACCTCCGAGTGTCGTGCGTTTAATACAAAGCCATCGGATGGGGCTGTTAATGGCAACTCAGCGATGGCTCGTGCCCGCACTATGTGGGTGCTATTGGATGATTTGTCGACGGTTGAGGTACGCCATCGTGGGCAGACCATTCGGTTCCTGCGAAAGAGCGATCACAGTGTGCATAGCGAGTTCTTCTTTCAGCATGGCAATGCGGATCTATTTGTGCGCTCCATGCGACAACTTCATTTCATTGAGAGCTCCCAGACAAATCGTGGTGGCGAGGAGTACGTCATACTGACAACGGAGACACAGAAGCTGAAGAAAACCTTTGCCGAACTCGATATAGGCGAGATCAAGTCGAGCCAGTTGCCCAAAGAGAGCTGGCTACCCAATAAGTTGGCTGGCTTTCTGGGCAATATACCCGACTATGTGCAGCCGCCGTTTCAACGTTCGCCCAAGTCTAGGCCCAGCACTTTGATACAGGGCGACCGACAGATATCGCCAGACAACTATCAAATTATTGGCCTCAGCGGAAGCACCAACAGTGCTTGTTCCTCGAACAGCCAGAGTCGTGGCGATAGCGCGGATAAGTCGCCGGCGGATAGTGAACTGGAAAATTTGAATGCACAAGACGAGAAAATCGTTAACAATTTGCCCGATCGCCAAAATGTTCAGCGAGGTAAATATAAATATTTCTCATATATTTATTCTCCATTATATCTAATTAAAAATACATTTAATATCGTAGGTCCGCCTTTGAGCGAAACACAGTGGCTGGAGTTCCAGACGCCAGATGGCCGCCTCTCCGACAGCGCACGCGTTAAGGAGATTATCTTTCGCGGTGGGATTGTGAACAGCCTTAGGGCAGATGTGTGGAAATATTTGCTGAACTATTATCAATGGTCCGACACGGAACTGGAGCGCATAGAGCGTCGGAAGCGAAAATCACGGGAATACTACAACATGAAGGCCCAATGGCTGGCCATGACACAGACTCAGGAGGCAAACTTTGTCGGCTATCGTGATCGCAAGTGCCAAATTGAGAAGGATGTGAAGCGCACAGACCGCTCGCTTCAATTCTTTGCCGGCGAGGATAATCCAAATCTGGCGCTATTGCAGGGCATACTCATGACCTATGTTATGTACAATTTCGACTTGGGCTATGTTCAAGGCATGTCCGATCTATTGGCACCCATACTAGAAATTCAGGTGAACGAGGTGGACGCGTTTTGGTGCTTTGTTGGCTTCATGGACATGGTCTTTACGAACTTCGATATGGATCAGGCGGGCATGAAGACTCAGTTTGCACAATTACGTAGCCTGCTTGAAGTCGCCAATGCCCGTTTATTTAACTATATGCGCACCCATGATTCGGACAACATGTATTTTTGTTTTCGATGGCTGCTCGTCTGGTACAAGCGCGAGTTTAGCAACGATGACGTACTCAAATTGTGGGAATGTCTGTGGACCCGCCTCCCTTGCCCCAATTTCCATCTGCTCATCTCTGTGGCCATTTTGGATCAGCACACAGACGTGATCATCGACAGCAACTACGAATTCACAGAAATATTGAAACATGTCAACGAACTCTCGGGCAACATCGACGTGAGACGTACACTCGAAATTGCCGAGGCCATCTATCTGCAGCTGAAGGCGTCCGAAACACTGCCCAACGACATACGCCAGATCATAGGCGAGCCATTACTTCCAGCAGTTGCTGGCAGTGATCAGGCAGCTAATGATGAAGAGGAAATGGCGTATTCCGATGATGGCTTCGACGAGTTACGTGAGCTAACACCGGAGGAGAAGCGACGCCAGCAGGAACTACTCGAGGAGGCGTGCGAACGCTCCCTGTTCCTTCAATACGTATGATATGGCTGCGTGGGGGTGGTTGCCATTGCCTAAGACAATGCAAGCGCAAATTTTGTAGCGTCTAAGACTCAAAGTTTACTATCGTATCGTTGATGCAGCTAACGTTTCGTGCCAGAGGCATAGCTGGTAAAGTGCTTTAATTGCTGATACACCATTACATACATACATATTATATATACTGTATATTGTATACATATTTGTACTTTTTGTATTTATAGTTGTTATTTCCTACCATTATTATTGGCTCACGAAAGCAATTTTATTGATACATATTATTATTGATAAGTTCCCATGTACGTAAAAAATTTCCTTTATATCAATTTATTCACACAAACATTTTTTAAAAGTGTCAATTATGTCATACTTTGGATTTTCTTTCGCAGCTTTGCCCGTAAACATTGTTATATCCTTGTAGATTATACAAAAATATATATCAATCGATATTCATATTAAATCTAACTGACTTTCTTATATCCAACTACGTCACTAATGAGCCGTTAGAAAAGGCATCCCAAAAGAGACCAAATAATGGGCCAATTTCCCGTTTAATTCAGCGTCGACCTCAAAAAGTTTTTAACGTTTATTCAAAACATCGACAAAACTAAATTCAGCGGCGTCCTCGTTTTTTTTTTCAGAATACAATATAACCAAAAATAGCGACACACCTAACGGTACATTACTGTACATAGTTGTTAATTCGCGGTAGTTGCCCCTGTTCCCCCCATCCATAGAATCCAGCGAATAAATTATAGAAAAAGGTTTTTATTGTAATTTTTGAAATTTATTTCTTTTATATATTTATCATCAATATCAATATTTGATGTTAATTGTTATTGTTGTTTTTGCTTTAGTTGTGTTTTGTTTGTTTTGCAGTTAATAATAATTATGCTGTAATTAAGACTTATACTTAAACTTTATGTATGCAATAAAGAAATTAGATTGCATTTAAATGTTTGTTTGTTTTTTCCATATAATTATTTTGTTGTGGAGCCATTTGTTTAATTAAAATTTTTTTTCAAATTTAGCTGCGAACAAAAATATATGCAGCAGCCACAATAACATGCAGATCTTGAATTAAATATAAATTTATTTAATTAAAAAATTCTATTTTTCAATAAACATACAGTATTTTTGTTGTTTCCTTAATTTGTTGTTTGTTTTTCGTTCTTGTGGTTGTTCAAAAGGACAAAACTTGATTTTTTAAATAGAAATTTAAAAAATACACGGTAAACACAATACTCGAATTTTCACTAATTACAAAAATAAAAATATGTATATAAAAGCGATTTATAGGACACAGAGTGGACAATATAAAATATTTGTTTAGGACAGTGACGCAAACAAAGTAAAAATTGCGTGAATACGCAACATTATATAGCTTAGAATAAAAGTGAGGATTGGACATGGGGAAAAGGGTTATATGGATTATAAATTATGTACAGGGTCATTTCCTTTTGTTGTTGTAAAGAGAGTAGTGTAGCTGAATTACATATAGCCTACATTTATCATATATATGTGTTTATGCACTATAATATATATATAGGTGTGTGTGTGTGTGTGTTGTGTATTAAACGATTCGCTTCGCTCACCAATGTGTGTTTGTTGTTGGTTGGGTTGGTTCTGCTTAAACATAGGCTTCATTTTGTCTTATCTTAAATAATTTGCAATAATTTAAACGATATATTTTGTTTCTTTGCCTTTTGGCCAAACATCTGCTCTCTATACCCTCCAACTCGCTAGCATTAAATTATAAGCGCATTTTTAAATATATAAATTTATGTTGCTCTCTACTGCAGCCCATCATCGTCATTATCAATATGATTTGTGCTGCTGTGAAAGATCATGCCACCTTTCCCTACCATTCTGGCTCTCAGAGGCGATGCGATGCCTGCGCAGCAATGCAGACAACGCGCTCAATTGTGAGCTAGACCCTCTACTTATACAGACCTAGGCGTTTATAGTCCCGTCCCAATTACCCGTTTAGCAGCAGTCGAGCAATGGAAACGTTCCTTGGCCTGCTCTGCCTAGCCAGCAAAGCTAATGCGTGTTGGAGGCGCAAACGCAACGCTTTGTGCAGCAGTGCGTTGCGCTTGCGCCTTCAGCAGACGTTAGCATTGCTCTCCTTCTTTCACAAACAGCTACGCTTCTCTACCAACTAAATATACATATATATGCATATATGCATGTATATACTTAAACTTTACACAACTTTAAGCTTAGTAATCTAATTCTCGCGTATATGCTAGAATTCAAATTTTCACGGCTTCCCTCAAACTGGTGTGTGCTACTTGCGTCGTCCTCTGGTTCTGCGTTGATTTTTCTTGCTGTCGCTTTTGTTGCTTTTGTTGTTATTGTTGCTTTTGTTGCCATTGTTGCGGTTGTTGCACTTGTTCTGTCTGCTGCTGGATTTGCTCATCAGTTTCGTTGCCCCTTGACTCTTGGCCGTAGGCTGAGGGGCCATTAGTTGTTAACGCGTTCGCGTTGAGCGTCGCATTACTCATTCATTCCGCTCCTCCGATTCACTGCCTGCCGACAAATTCAAGGTGGCTGCATCGGCAGACTGTCGTGTGTGGCGCGTGGAGCGTAATTCGCGTCGCTTCTCAGGCGGCTGCTCGACAGCCGCACTGTGTTCAGCGGCTCCGGAACGCGGACGTTTGAGGCGATTGGAAGAACGTCGATTCTCTTCGGCAGCAGCGGCTGCTGCTGCAGAGCTGGACGTTGATGAGCCACTGAGGTTGGCTGGAGTTGCTGAGCCCGAAGCGTTTCCATTGCCGCTGGCTCCGCCGCCTCCACCTCCGCTTGTCTCCAGATCCTCGACGCTTCCACCATGACTGCTGCCGGGCGCTGTTGGCTTCTTGAGTATTGGCTGTATGATCAGTTCATCTGCTTCCTCATACGGTGGCGGCAACTTGGCCGCATCGGCTGCATTGGTAATGGTCAGCGATATGCGCGATTCACTGCGCTCGGAGCGTTCGCTGCTGGTGCTGGCACCAGAGCTTATGGGTGGCGCAATCGTTATGGTCGTCTGAGAGGGTAAGTTGGCCGCAATACCGGCAGCAGCTGAAGCATTCAGTGGAGTCAGCGTGACCTTGTCCTGCTGTTCGTTGGAGAGAGCTGCAGCCGCTGCTGCAGCAGCAGCGGAAGAGGAACTATTGCCTGATCCTCCAACATTGGCACTGCCAGAGCTTCCGCCGCCAATGCTGCCACTGCGTAAGCTTTTCTCTATGCTGGACATACTGGCGCCCAGGTTAAGGGGTAAGCCAGCAGCAAGAGCTGCGGCTGTGAGCTCATCCTTGGTTGGATGCAGGGATTCGGTACGTGAACGCTTCGATTTGTGCTGCTGCTGCTGTTGTTGTTGTTGCTGCTGCTGTTGCTCTGCATCTAGAGCGGCTGCATAAGCGGCTGCGGCACTGGCGCTGGAGGTACTAGCTGACGAAGTCGGTATAAGCGATATGCCCGAACCCAGGCCCAATGTCTTGGTGTAGTAGTCCATTTGTTGCTTAAAAGCATCCTGTTCCCGTTGTCGTTTCGAGGCGGAGCTATTGCTGCTGGACGAGGAGTTGGCAGCACCACTAGAAGAACCGCCTGTCAAACCAGCCAAACTGGCCAATGAGCCGGGTCCGGTCAATGGTAACGATCCGCCGGCTGCGGCCATCGCTTGCGCAGCCATTTCGGCGAGGAGCGCCTGCGAGAAATCGCTGGACATTCCTGGTATTTGAGGCAGTTGTGCCAATTGGGCTGCCGCTGCAGCAGCTGCAGCTGCTGAGGAGGCCGCCTTCGAGCTCTTACTGGACGAGGATACGGAGGAGGAATTGCCCGTGTTGGAGACCACGCCAGCCGAGGATGTGGATGGCAGCTTTCCTTGCGAGAAGGCCTGCAGTGCGGCCAGATCTGTGGGCAGAGCGCTACGCGCGAAACTCTCAATCCATTTCTGCTGCTCTTTGGCGGCCAGTTTTTCGGCTTGGGCGGCCGCATTGGAGGCTTCGTTGGCAGCAGCTGCAGCAGCGGCGGCTCGTTTACTGCTCGCACTTGAGGAGCTTTGGCTGCTGCTACTGGGCGTGGGCAATGGTGGCATGCCCAGGGAGCTCATGAGACGTGTTGCCTGCGCTAGATCCATGCTAGACATGCGACTCAGCGATTCAAGCAGATGCGGATCAGCACCGGGCATTAACAGACTGGATAGCTGAGCCATGTCCGCGGCGGAGGGGGCCGCAGGCGTGTTCCTGGAACTTGACTGACGACTGCGACTGGAACTGGAGGACGGTGTGGTCACGGTGCTGGCTATACTCTGGGCACCACTCATGCTGGCCATGGCATTCATGAGATTAGCCGCCGAATTGGCGGACGCGGCAGCAGCGGCGCTGGCCGAGGATCGTGAATTACTTGACTTGCTCGACTGCGACTGATGCGACTTGGATTGCGTGGATGGTGTATTTGCTGCTGATGAGGTCGCAGCGCCATTTAACAGATTATATTGCTGCGCCAATTGATCGTAGGCGGAGCCCAGTCCGGTAGAGCCCAATGAATAGGGATTGAGACCGCCCAGGCCCATCGGTGGATACAACAGCGATGGATTGGGGAACAGGAATGGAAAACCAGCAGCAAGCTGGGATGCAGAGGCGGCTGCATTCTTATTGCCAGAGCCAGATGCGTTGCCTCCACTGCCGCTATTACCGCTATTAACGGCTGCAGCAGCAGCTGCTGCTGCTGCCAATTGGGCCGCTTCGCTCTGTTTACTCTTCTTGCTCGATGAGGAACCGCTGCCCGATTGCGATTGATTCTTGCCGGAACTGTTGCCTGCTCCTGTGCCCGTTAGGCCGCCCAACGTGGGGCCCGCAGCAGCCATTAGAGCAGCAAGCGACTGTGCGTCCATGCCAGCCAAATTGCCCAGACCACCCATGCCTGCCAAGCTGGCGAACAGATTCATGTTGTTCAGATTGCCCAAGCCGGGTATGTTGCCCATGCCGGGCATGCCGCCGAACGGCATGGACAGCAGCGGATTTTTCGGATCAAAAGCGGCGAGCGGATTTTTCGGATCGAAAGCACCCAGGCCAGGTAGATTGGCCAGGAGACTCGGATTGAGTCCAGCTAACGATCCGAACTGCAGCGCCGCTTGATCCAAGGCAGCCGATTGCCGTGAGGACTTCTTTGAGGAGCCCGAATTGGACGCTGGAGACTGCGCGGCTGTCTGCTGCTGCGAATGGCTGCTGGACGAGGCATTGCTCGATGTGGACGAGGGGCGGCCGCCATGGGATTTACTCGCTGCGGACCCATAACTTGTATCCATCGGTTTCGGCGATGGTGCTGACATAGGGTTCTGCATTTGTTCTAGCCATTTGGGATCCACTTCATAATTAGGATTCTCCGTCAGCCTGCGTTCAAAAAAAAAAACACAAATTATATAATAACAATTTATAGAGGCCCGAGTTTATACACAGAATAAATAGCCTTTAAACTAGTTTCAGGTGATTACTTAAAATGGAAACTTTAAACGGGTATTACAAATTTAAATATCAAATGTACAAGAGTTCTGGGTAAAAAATTTTACAAGTGTCGAAACAAGTTTAATACTTGTCATTGATATTTGAAATTAATTTTAAGTAGTTTAAATGTAGGTAGATTAGGTCTTTAGGGCTAGATAAGTTTATCGAACTCAGTAAGGTCTTAATTGGTTCTAAAAGCTTTCAATTAACACTCACCATTGCATGAGTCGCTTCAATTGCGGCGCCTTATTTCCTCCCAAACGTTTACCCGTCTGTTTGTTGATAACAGGAACGGGTTCCTCACCGGTCAGACCCTGCGGTCCAGCCATGGACTGTTGCTGCTGTTGTTGTTGCTGCTGTTGCTGTTGTTGTTGTTGAGCGTGTGATTGTGCAGCAGCCTTTTGCATTTGTGCCGCACTGGATTGTTGAGAATTGGAGCCACCTTGCTGGCGGTTGGAGCGTCGATTGCTTGCGCTGCTGGTGCTGGAATTAGCGCCACCACCTCCACCGCCGACATAGTCAATGCTGAGCTGATCACCCAGTGGGCTTGTCATGTCCGACAGCCACTTGTTGACCTTAACATCATGTGGTGAATTGTACTTGGAGCTCAGCTTCATAGCCTGCTCCATTTCGGCTAGCATATTTTCGTAGGCTTTGCGCTGAGCTGGGGGCAGGAACTGCATCATCTTTTGCTGTTGCTTAAGGAACGTCTGAGGATCGGTGGCCATAGTTTGTGCGAGCAGTGCATTGAGACTGTCCTTGGAAGACAGACCGCCCATGGTCATGTTTTGTAAGGCCGAGAGCCCGCTGCTCGAGGAACTGGCGCTGGGCGTGTTTGATGAATTTTTAGATTCTGCAGAGGAAGGTAAAAACGTAAAGAGTAAAAGGTCAGTAAATGCGAAATATGGCCATTAATTTATGCAAATGTAAATATCAAAGCGCAGAGACTCAAACTCACTTCCGGGCACTGTCGTAACAGTGATAGTGAACGGCTTTTGGTTCTGTTGTTGTTGGCTGGATAGCGACGATTGAAGATTCGCAGGCGTAACCGAAACGCTGGGCGGTATTTGGGGCTTCTTCGATGAAGGCAGCGATGGATCGGGAAAGGTCTTTTGCTCCTTGGCAGCGGAGAGACCCAAGACTATTTCATCTAGCTTCTTCCGCTTCTTCTCCTTGCCAATGACGGGCTCTTCAATTGTCTGCAAGCGATGCATAAAATAAAATCAAATAAGTTATACATCCGTTTCCATAGAATCCATTCAACAAACTTACGCAATTGTTCTTCTTCATGAGCTTATTGAGAGTATCATCGAGCTTGCTCTTGCCACCCATCGAAGGAAAGGCTGAACTTAACGCGGCATGCACGCTGGAGGCTGAAGATTTCTTTGAAGGCATTGAGAAATCTTGCACTTCACTCAAATCAATGGCGCCAGCACTGGACGCAGACTTTAGCATATCCGTCATGTTCATCTTGGGTAGACTGCTGCAAATAGAAGATAAAGCTTAAGTATATGGTACAAAAAATATTAGAAATGTTCACTACCTGGAAGACAAGTCCATGGGTGCACCCATTGAAGGTGGAGGTGTTTTAAGCGGTGGCACAGCTGGCTTGTTAAATTGCCCAGATGATTGACGTGACAGCGAGGGGTGCTGATGCGCAGGCGGTGGCTGTAAACCACTTAACGCAGCCGAAGCTGCTGAAGCAGCTGAAGAACCGCCACGCCTGGATCCAGCTCCCACAGAGGTGAGCGCCTCCATATTGGCAATTTCATTCTCCCAGTCCTTTGGTCCCACTGCAAGAAAATAAGTAGACAAATTTTAAATAACTTCAGATTAAGGCCGATTGCCACAAAGCGGTCCGAACAACCGAACTTGTAGAAATATTTAATCTTAGTTGCGTATTAATAGTTTGTGGAAACCGTTGTTGATAGCTAAGTTTAAAACATTTGTTCAGTTTACTTACTTGATTGCGAGCTGTTGAGGAGTGCATGGAGCTTGGCACGTTCCGTTTCCACATCAATAGCAATGTGGCGCTTTCGTTTCTTGCCCGCGTTTGATCCAGCAGTAGGTACATTGACGCCACCAGCCGAAGTGTTAGACGGAGCTGCTGCAGCACTCAGAGCTGCCGTAGCCGTCGTCAGCGACATGCCGGGAAGAAGGGATGACAGCGAAGTGGCATTGCCACCAGCTGCAGCAGCGGCAACAGCAGCAGCTACTGCTGCATTGATGCTATTGGCATCCAGACCGGGAATGCCGCTGCTCGGCAACGTTGCGGATGTTGCCACCGATGGTTTCGGTGGCAGGACGGCGGTTGCCATACTAGAGGCGATGCCGGTGCCTGGAACCGTAGGAGCGGATGGCACAGTGTTGGCTACCTGCTGCATTTGCGAGGCCTGCAAATGCTTGGTCACACCCTGATCGGTGGTTATAGTAATCACATCGGGTGTTTGTGAGCGGCGCTCGATGGTGTTCAAATGAGGAATGGACTCATGCAATGCAATGTTTAAGTCGGTGCCCTTGCAGCCTGCAAAGGCTGTATACTGCTTATCGACTGGCCACTTGTTGGTCTCAACACATGTCACAATGTGCGCAATACGACGTTCGAGGGCAAAGTCCTTGAACCAGCGAATCATGCACATCTCTAGCTTGGGCTTCTCAAGCTTTTGCTGTTTGACAGCGCCGGGTTGTATGACTTCAAGATCGGGGAAACGTGCCTTTAGTTCAGCAGCCTGCTTCTTGCATTCCTCCTCCACGGCTTTTTCCTTCTCCTTCATTACCTCATCGTCGTCGGGATCTGTAGGTGCAGCGACCAGATCTAGTATTTCCTGATCCGTTGGTTTTTCAGACTTTTTACTCGCTTCGGTTGGCTTTTCGGTGCTTTCCACTTCCGCAGTATTTGTTTTGGTGCTTTCTTTGACAGCTTCAGGATCGGCAGCGCTCTCTGCAGTTACTTCATCGGTCTCCTTCTTCTGTTCAGTGGGAGTTTCTTCTTCTTTTTCTTCTGTTTTGGGTTCTTCTGCTGGCTGGTCCTTGTCAGCAGTTTCACTCGCTGACTTTATTTTCTCAGGTTCCTCTTTGTTCTCCTCCTTATTGTCCTCCATGCTTGATTTATCGTCTTGGGCTTTTTCAGTCTCCTCCGGCTCAGCTTTGTTTGCTTCAGTCACCTTGTCTTTGTCGTTTTCTTCGACTGTTTCATCCAAATCCATTTTTTCCACGCTAGTCTTGGGATCATTTTCTACAACCTCGGCGGCTTCTTCTTTATTAGCATCACCTGCATCGGTCGATTCTTTATCAGCCTCAACAATTTCATCCTTCTCTGTGCTAGCTTCCGCTTCAGGTTTAGGATCATCTGCGGTATCAGGCTTGGCCACCTCTTCATCCGCTTTCTTTTCCGTTTCCTTTTCTTCATTTGGCTCTGCTACGACTTCGTCTTTGACTGGATCCTCCTTCTTGATAACACTCTCCTTGGTCAAGAGCTCATCATCCAGATCTATCACCTCATTTTTAACCGCCTCCTTTTCTGCTGCCAGCTTTTCAGCCTTCTCGGCATTGAAAGCTTCCAGCTTAATAGTACGCTGTATTTGCGCCTCCAGTTCGCGAATGAAGCGCTTCTCGGACTCGGCAAAACTGAAGTTGGGATCGTTGAAAATGAATGTTTCGGACCGATAGAGACCATGCTTAAGCACTGCTGCAATGAGTTCTTTATCGTGGCGTCCAGGTTCCCACCAATCAGGCGTGTCTGCATTCATGGTGCACAATTTTAGACGCTCTTCTAGCTGAGGATTACGAGCCACTTCGCGCAATTTGGAGAGCAGCTCTAGACGATCTAATATAAGCTTGGCATGTTCCTCACCAATGTCCTCAATAATGCCCTCTAGACCACGCTCATTTTCAGCCAATTTGATACCAGACTGTCGCTTGCACATGGCTATGAAAACCTTGTAATAATCACTAAGTGTTTCATCGCTTTTGCGCTCTAGATGCGCCATTTGCTTGAATTTGGTCCAATCAGGTGAAAGAGTAGTCCCCATGGCTGTTGGCAGTTGCAGATCAACGCCATAACCTGTTAGAACGCGCAGAAATTCGTACTCTTCGCGACGATTCCATTTCTTAGGTATCAATTGCAAACGCTGTGCCTCTCGCTCCTTGGCCGCCAGCTCCATTTTACCTTGGCGTTCCATTTTCTGTAATGCAATGAATAGGAAATGTTTAGCGAGTGCTACAATAATTCATTACATAATCATTTAGATTGTCCAGATTAGTTTAAAAATATGTTGAAGTGGAGAAATTGAGTTATAAATTGAGATTGGGAATAAATTCATTGATATTTTAGCATTCTAAATGACTATCCAAAAGGTGAACTTCTTCTAAACGTTCTTTATCACACGAATTTCTAAGAAAATTCTTATCAACTCATAGTAAAGATTAAGTTAAACTTATTCGATTACTATCTTTACATGAGTTTGGGACTTCCCTAATAGTGACAATCTATTTACAGTGAACTCTCGGAATAAATAAATTCGCATTACTATATGCGCGAATTAAAAATGGTGCAATGGACGACAAATCCAGGGCAAATCTTTCCTCATCTACAAATATCAGCTGCTTTAAAAAAATTTACCAGACTGTCGATAATGCCAGTCTTAAATGTACATATTGTTTATGTATGTATGTATTGTGGAACAGTTTAAGGTGTTAAAATTAACCCATTTCCAAACCTTCTTCTCGGTAATTTTTATCCAAACAACGCCCCGTGCGAATTTCATTACGAGTATTTACACAATTTGAAAAAAATTAAAAATACAGAACATAGGCAAGCAAACGAACGTGCGACGACGTCCAGTGACCCCGACCCCTCAACCCAATAATCACTACCGAGACCACTGTTAGTGAGGGTGGTGCCTTAGTAGTGGGGTGAAGCAGGGCTAGTTGGTATGGTGGTGGTGATAGTTATGGTGGTGGTGGGGTGGCATATACGTGCAACACAACGACAACGCATTCATCTATTTGCTGCCGACTGTCGACTGTCCGTGGCGGACGGCCAATGTGCTCAATGCTGAGCTTTTGAATTACAATTTTTGCGAAAAAGACAAAATATGCGAATAAGAGCGCGCACACAAAGCAAAACGAGGCAAGCAGCAAATGAGACACAATGGGTAAATGCTGCCGACGACAATAACAACAACGATACGAACGACGACGCGACTAAATACGAACGTGCGCCGCTACACACAAACTGGAAATACAATAAAAATCATAATAATGAAAGTAAAAAAAATCCATTTTACACCCCTAATAACGTCGCGGCATAGGCAACAACGACAGGCAAAAGGCAACGGTAACTGACGGACGGGTGGCGCAATGAGCACGAGGCGCAACAAAGCACAGAGACACACACCTACATACATGCATACATACATATATACAACACCCATACAGAAGACACTCACATAAATGAATCCTGCGAGACCAATTGCACGGCCTGTACACGACACGAGGCAAGGAGCTAGCACACACACACCCATACATAAATTTAGGGTACGTGTGCGAACGCTCTGCTTGCTGCTTGGTTATGATAATGATGATGATGGGGACAAGCAAAGCAAGCTAGCATACAAAAATGCATGAGACCCCCAAATGTTGTTTCAGTGTTGCCAGGTAGTTGCAAAAATCAACAAATTTTAAGCAGAAGTCCACACACAAGTGTAAATCAAAATATTGCATGGCTTCGGCAATTATCGGTTGAAAAGACAAACCAACAAATATTCAAAAGAAGGCAACCAGGTATGTTGGCAAGGACACAAATTGACCCTAGCTGGCAACTCTGTTGAGCTGTCTTGAAACTGTTTATACAGCTAACGGCTTTTACACAAATTCCAAACAAGCGAAGCGTCGACGATATCCAAAAAGGGGGACAAAACAAAAACAAATCTCAAAGCGCAGAAGATAAAGCGCGACGTCGACGTCGTAGTTGCCTTCGCCATCTCGCTTCTGCACACGTCGCAGTCAACGTCACCAACGTTTGCATCTACACGATATACAAGTGCGAGCGATTGATTATGATTATTAGTAGGAAGCAAGTACAAAACGGCAAAAGAAATGGGGGAGAAGTCAAAGGCAAGCGCAAAGGAAATAGAATTTAAATGAGTGCACACGCACACACATGCAAGCCATTACAAAAAAAGTTGGAGCGCAAGTCTCGGACGGTTGTTGTTGTATGAGTGGACTGAGTTACACACATGCCGTGTAAGTTGTTTTAAGTGGTAATGGGCTATACGAGTGTTACATACATATGTACGTAAGTACATACACACAAATGTATATTTATATAAAGAAATCTATAGGAATAAATTTATTGTTTTGTATTGTATTTCTTCACTCGCTTCTCTGCTGGCTTGCTTGGCTTTACTTGTTTAAGTCTGCTTCTTCTTTTGCGTTTTGTACGCATTCTTTGCATTGGCTTCATTGTCGCCATAGTCGACGCTTTGCCTTCAAATTAATTAAGTTTTGCAAGTTTGATATCATAAATTTTCCATGTTGTAATCATGTATCACGGTTTGTTTATTTGATATGCTGTGATGATATTTTACCTCCAAATAAATGCCATTGTTTAAGTTTGGTGTTGGTGTAGCTGCTGCTGTTGATTTATTTAAGTGCTCGCAGAATGCAGAGAAACTGCTAAAATCCATGGGTTTAATAACCTCCATTTTGTATTACAAAACACGCACGCACACATATGTATGTAAATATAACCATATAATACTAAGCACCCAAACAGTTGTCGTTGTGCAGAACTACAATTACAATATCACAATTATTGCCATGGATTTCGTCATTATTGATTTTAATTAAACACACTAATTATCATTCATTTCGTTTTGAGTTGCGTTTTGAGTAGGCGACACATTTTGCTTGCCATTTGCACGTTTCGTCAGCGACGATGTCTGCACTCGTCGACAAACATACTTGTACAAATGTACATACTTATTTATGCATACATATGTATGTATGTATGCGCAGATGTAGCCGTTCGTCTACTCTACAATTACATTTTTCCCATTCGTTTATATTTGATTATTATTATTTCTTGCAAGCACACACACACACACGCGGAGATACGGCAACAAATACGACGTTTTGGATATGGATATACGGATGCGCCGCTCAAGCACTTGGACTTTTTACAACTTTACACCGCGGCGCTCAAACAAATAATGAGCGAGCGCATTGCGAACTAAATACAAGAAACACTCCTCACACACACATACAGACATACAGAGGCACACGGAAACAGAAACAACGGCGGCGGCGGTGGCGACGACGACACTAGCAGCTAAAATCGAAGAGCCAGAGCCAACCAGATACGGCTATATGATGGCTATGGCTATAGCTATTGAGCGAGGGAGCAACAGAAAAACCAAACAATCGTGAGATTAAGCCAAACGCCGCCGTTTTGGGTGAATGTGGAATATATATGAATGAGATGGGCAGCAGCAGCAGGCAGGGCAGGCTGTGTGCTAGTCTTCCTCTTGTTGTTGTTGTCTGAGGTGAATGAGCGGCAAGCGTCACTTGCAGTACGATTTCATACTAGCGGCAAGTGAGTGTTGAGAGCGAGAGCAAACAGTTCGTCTCAGAAAAAGAGAGAGAGAAAGAGCGAAACGATGGCAGAGTGTGTGAGAGTTTACCAATACACGGCGGTAGCGGCTGCTGCTTTAATGGTGTGCGTGCATTTGGGTATAGATGTGTGTGTGCACTGGATGGACGAGTTGAAGAATGAGGCACACATTGTGTCAACTCTATGTAATGTAAGCAAAGAAGGCAAAAGGCGCAGGGCACAGGAGCACCAAGCACAGGGCACACAACAGGCAGAGCCCACAGGCTGCCCTACACACTCACTTGAGCTGTGCGTATTTGAACCGGTTCAAATGGTTTATATGCAAACAGCAGGACTTTGGGGCCACTATTTAAAAATCAAATTCAATAAATTCAAACAAAATAAAAGTTATTACAGTTACAATGTCCGTACTTGCAAACCTTTGATAGAAATATAATTTTTAAATTAATATACATACATCGTTTCTATTACTGTGATATTATCAGTGTCCATTAAAAAGGACCATTTAAACGCGATGGATTTAAAACTTTAGAAGTAGTAACTAAAGCAAACTGAAGGACATACCGATATCGGGAATAGAATTTGTCTTGTGATGCCGAAAATATCGGATTATGATTAGAATTCGGTTATTTATAAATGCAATCGATGTCGTTTAAAAAATTTGTATGCATTGGTATGGCTTCTCTTTCTTATACAGCTACAGATACTAGTTCACCCAATTGAAGTACCCTGCACAACTCTAGTGAGCACACATACCCGTCCGCATAACACACGGCAGGAGATTCGAGCAAATGGCAAAAAAGCCAAGCAATGAAACAAATGTACCACAAAAACTGTTGACGGCAAGGCTGAGGGCTGAGATGAGAGGCAGCGGCAATGGCGGTGGCGCGGCAGCAGTTGGGCTGACTGATGGTAGATGGTAATGACGAGGGGGAGCGGCCTGATGCGATGACTACGACGCTGGCTGGCCGTGGCAGGCAAATAAAACAAAAAGCAATCGAGAACGGGCAAAGGACACACTGTGTAAAAGGGATAAAATAAAATAATAGCAGCAGCGCATGACACAAAGTCGGCTCTGGGCTTTGGCCTGACTGGCTGGCTGGTTTGTTGGTTGCCACAAGCTTGCTCGCCTCGCCATGAAATGGATTAAAATTCAGGTACAAAATGTGAGACACACACACACATACATACACTCACATATGGTAGCAAGAACGATTTTTGCATCCATGTTAAACAAAGATGATACGCCACTCATACAATTGAGCATTTTGAGCGTATGGATGTATGTACTGATGTACGGGTATGTATGTATTGTTGGATAAGCAAATTTTTCGTTAACACCTTCAAAGGAGCTGCAGTCAAAAGGATAAATACAACGAATCGCACACATTGTTGTTGCAATTGTTGTTATTGTTATTGCTGCTGGTATGCATGCAATTGTGTAATTAATATGACCTTAGGGTAGAGCTAGAGAATGAACCAACCCATCACTTGTCGCCGCCGTGGCGAAAGATAGAAAATGCGCTAAAGTGCGATAAGCACGTACATACGTGGCGAGAGCGTAGCGCAGCGTCGAGTACGAAAACGAGTACGAGATTATTAATCAATCCAAAGATACAGATACACAGCCACCAATCCACCACCAACAACAACAAAGCCAACTAACCGCCGCGACACATCTTTAGAAGCGGCAGCGGCAAATGCATATATGAGACGGCGACTAACCCACACACTGATATAGAAAACAGAGAGCGCAACTAGAGAGGAGTTCGTGAAGCGATCCCGTGACGTGAAGGTTATTCCTGTTCAATTTCCTTTTTTATTTAAAATAAATTAAAACTTAATCCAGATACGGAACAATCACTTTTAAGAATCGATTGATCTGAAAAACTATTCTTTCAATTTGACAACCAAACAAAAACTAACCCTGACATACAATTAATTTTATATGAAGTTGATATGAACAGCTGATCAGCAAAATGAAAACCTCAAATACAATCACGATTACCTTGCAAGGTGGAAAATAAAAACATTCCATCTCCCTTGTTTGCGGCCCCAGTCTTTAAAATATAAAACTTTATTTGGGTATGTTTAGGAAATATTTATAAGACAACATCCAGAAGGGGACAATACAATATTCCATCGGCCAGCTCTTGCATTTGCCTCAGTGTGTGTGTATTTAGGAAATATTTTAAAGATATTTTATCAAGTGTCCACCTCTAGCAGTAACTTGCCCATGTAGTGCGAGTGTACATACATATGCATGCATGTATGTATGTCTGTTTGACGATTTTTATGGAGCTGCGCGCTGTCCGAAGCTAGACTCGTTGAAAATTTGACTAAAGCGTAACGCAAACTAAATCAAAAAGGCAGGTAGAGAAGCGACATGAGGCAACATCAGTTTGACGTTCGTTGCTCATTCAGATGAATCCAAAGGGTACATAAATGCACATTGAGTTCGAGATACATCTGTACGTATTTATGTATGCCTGTGTGTATGTAATGTACGATGCTGACCAACAACGACAGATGCTGATGCTGCAATAGAAGTGCATTAGGCGACGGGGTTTGATGTTTTATGGCTGTCAGGTGTGAATAAAGAAAATTCTAGTCCAGCTGCACCTTTTAGAAACACGTGAGGCTCAAACACACACTATTCGTACTGCTTGCCTCACAGTGATTGAATAATTGCATATGGCCATATGGCTGTGGTACATTTGAAACCACTGTGCGATTGAGCAAGAGTAACTGAGCGGAGAGAAAGACGACAGTAAGAAATGCTAATAAAATAATAAATCGAATGCGATTCAAAACAACAGAAAAAGCAGCAACAACAACACCATCAAGAAGAAGCAATAAGAGCAGTAGTAGTCGACGAACAAACGAATGAAGCCAAACCAAAGATGGCATAAAAAAGAACGGTGAGAACACAAACACACACACACACACACACGTAAACATAAACTTAAAGAATGTGTACACGAGTATGTGTGAGCTTGTGTTCCAAATACACGTTGCAAATGCAAAAAGGAATCAACAAAAAAGGCTTTTAAGCTGCTGCTGCTGCTGATGTTGCTGTTGCACACAAGTAGAAAAACGTATAAAAAGCAAATACAACAACACCAGCAAACGAGCCAAGTGGCAGCCACAGGAGCACAGCAAGAGCTCAGTGTGCAAATATCTGCTACCCGTTCGCCTCTCTTCATCATCAACTGCTGCCTGTCTCTGCCTGACTGCTGCCTAAATGAGCACAATTAGGGTTTATCGTCGGCAGCAACGAAGCAGCGCGGCGCACAGAGAAGTGACAGCGAAAGAGAGGGGGTGTGGCGTTGTGGTTATGCATGCAGCACAAAATGTGGAAAAAACGAGCTAAGAAATTATCTTCGTTTTCCTTGGATACCCTTATATCATTCACAACAAAAACTGTATTCCTCCATGATCATGGAAAACGATTATCGTATACCTTTATGTATCTTACTGTGTCCGTACTATCAGATTTTTCTCTACAAAAAAAAACATTATTTCTTATTTTATACTTTTGATATATTGATCGATATATGTACATATGTACGTATTTTATTATTCGTATGAACAATAAGAAGCTTCTAAGACTGTGGGATATGGATTCGCCTTGCCATGCTGGGCGTTACAAACTTATGTATTAAAAACAACATACTCTTAGACTTTTCCACGAAGGGTATAAAGACACGTCAAGAACAGGTCACATCGAGTCACATATTCGCTCAATAATTCAAGTGAATAGGCGCGTTTTACAACAACACGTTCCTTACTGTGCAGCAAGCAGCGCCAGGAGCAACAACAGTTCGCTCGGGAGAGCGCCGTCGAGAGCACAAATGGCTTGAGTTTTTGGGTGGCAAAAGCAGATACGACATGAACGAAAATTAAAATTTTTTCTTTTGAATAAATTCACAAAATGTAAAATTATGCAAACAAAAAGCAAAGCTACATACACGCACACACACGTGGGGAAACCTAGCACATATGCATGGAAAAGCAGCCACTACAGCATACTAGGACGAAATCAAATTTCTTGCACTAAGTACATAAAATACAGTGGACGAAAATTTAACCCACCCTTTAGGTTACCATAGGACGTCTGTTCAAAAAATATCAGGGAGTTAATTTTTACTAAATAAATATATCTATCTGTTTTTTTTTTTCTAAATTAAAAATGTCCCTAAATTGTTGTGAAATTAACTCCAGAAATGTTTTACAATAATTCTTTTGACTTGGTAAAAAATCGAGAACATAAGTATTAGCCAGTACAAAATTCTGTTTTTACACGGTAGACTGGTTCCAGAAAAAGTCGTGTAAAAAATTAAAAATTATTGCAGAAACACACTCAATATCTCGTTTTGATACAATTCGCATTTTTGTTTCCTTGTTTTCCCCACACTGTTCCAATGTGCAGTCAGCAGTCTGTCAGTCGTAGGGAAACTCACAAGTACAGCCAACCAAGCAACCACCAATTCCGCCACCGCCAACGCCGCACAATCATCGTCACCAAAGAACTTCACCACTTCGTCAATACAACAACAACTACAACAACAACCAGGCTTAATGCCTGCCGCCGTCTGTGCAGGAAGGTTTTGCTTTGCTCTTCTTATTGATGTTGTTGTAGTTGTTGTTGGTTTGATTGATGGCGAGGCGATGGCGTTGGCTTTGCCTTTTGATAATGGCGGCGTTTTCATCGCTGTTGCCGACGACGATGGGTATTGCCTCTGCGACTCGGCTCGAATACAGTAAAATGCGAGGCAGGTTGTAGGGTACAAGTGACTTCATCTCATAATTTGACCCAAGCCCCAGTGTTGGCCAACACATTGTGGCTTTACTTTTCAACATCAGCTCAGTAGTTGTAGTTGTTGTTGCTGCTGCTGCTGCGATGCTGTTTGCTGAGTGCGCAAAGCGGTTTGACATTTTCTCGTTTGGTCGTCGTCGGCGTCTTCGTTTCGCTGCTCATTCTCAGCTCACTCAGCCGCATCGCACTCGCCGCCTCGTGTACCATTTCGGGTTCAAATTCAAGTGTATGTATGTATTTCTTTTATTTTGCATAAATTAAGCATAAGTGTATTTGCCGTTGCTTCTGTTTTTGTTGTTGCTACTCTCGCTCTTTCTCGTCTCGTCGTTTTGTTTGCCCATTCGGAAGAACACACAGATAGAGTCGCACAAAATTACAAACCTAGAGACAACAGCTTACAGCTAACAGGAGCAAATTCAATTGGTGGGTGTGCGAATGTGTGCGTGTATTTGTAACATTTCTGCATTATTTTTGCAAGATGTCCTCTTTCGGCTTTTCACACACTTACCGCTTCAAGTGTGTGTATAGTCATATATGATAGGGGAGGGTTATCGATAGCGTGTGTACAATAGAAACACATATCAAAACTACTTATCTTTTTGTGTTCCCATAAACTCCAAATTCTTTCTAATTTTGTGAACCCCTAGTACCTCCCAACATTATGTTAATTTGATAAAATTCGTTTTACAAACGAAAAATCAATCGCCGCAGAAATGGAAAAGATATATGTAAATCATACGCATGAATTATAGTATTGGTAGCTTAGCACTGGGTTTCAAAAAATAGATCTCACATGATTAAGCTTAATACCATAAATAATACAAGATACACATATTATTATGTCGAGTTCGGAAATACGCGTTAATTAACATACGAATGCAACGGCAGTCTTTCAAAAGACAGATATAGGATACCATATAAACAGTTAGTATTGTAAAATTTAAGGTTAGTAACAAAATCAATACCTCTAAAATGTACAGATTAAAGATGTTGTAATCAGCTCGATTAAAATCATGCGTCAGTTAGTAAAAATTAACAAGGTATGTAAGTAAATGTTAGTGGGTGGTGATGGTGGCAAGTGATGATATTTGTCAGTGTAATGAGACGTTAGAAGATTTTGGTCTTCAGGGTCTAAAAAAAATGGATAAGAATGGTACACGGAACATAGTAAGTTCCGCATGATGTCTTGATTCAGAATAGAATGATAGGAGGATATCTGGAAATGTTTGTTCTTAGTTTGTTCAATGTTCAAATGTGGTGGGTGAGTTGGTGAGTAAGAGGTGGGCAGGCACGCGGGTGGTTTTTTTCGGATGGTTTAGGTTGGTTTCTAGTTGTCAGTGTATTGAGTAGGTGAGATATTCATATATGTAAAAATATATATAGGTAATCATCATATAAAAATTGGCGATGCACATACATTGTTCATACTAACCAAATACATGGCCAGTTTGTTGATATCCAAATTGGCCAATTGGCTGACATCGGTGGTGTTGAGGATGCTCAGCATAAGGCTGATGTCGGCGGCGGTGGGCATGGGTGGCACCGATCCACCGCTCGCTGCCGCAGCAACGGCGGACTGTTGCTGCTGCTGATGTGGCACGATGCTGTGCGGCTGCTGCTGTGATGCACTACCGCCGGCAGCAGCGGCCGCCGCTGCAGCTGCCGCCGAGGTGGATGGGCCCTGGGAATGCATCAGTGCCTGGAGGTTGCGATTGCTCGAGTCGAGTTGTTGCTGTAGCTGACTGGAGGTTGTGGGACCAACGGTTGCGGCGCCGCCTGGGCCGGATGCAGTTGCATTCTGCATCTGCATTTGCATGGACTGAAGCGTTGGGGTCGTTGGCACCGATAGCGGTGGTGTCGACGATACCAATGCCTGTAGCTGTTTGCAAGAGGGGGGTTGGGGGTAGAAGTTGGTTAAACAACATGGTTAATCAACACGAAGCGAAAATTGCTTCTTTTTCTTCTTCTAAATCTTTTTATTCATAGATGTGTGGGACGGGAGAAAGTACACATATTCTTTTGATGAACACAATGATGAATTGCTGGTTGATAGGGGCAGCGGCAGAGGCGGGAGCTAGGGGAGGCTTAAGGTCATTTGTTCTTCAATTGACCACCTGTAGGTAGTTTTGTTATTCAGCTGTTGGTTGTTGGTTGTTGGATGGGTTCGTCAACGTCATCGGTACTTGTCGGTTCGGGAATTTGTGTTCGGGTCTACTTTACGCTACTTTCGCACAAATCATCTAAGCCAAGTAGTCTACGGCCAACAGCTAAGCAACAAAACTACGTACATGGATTTTGGCGCAGGCCTTTCAACGTCTAGTCTACAGCACGGGCCACAGCTACAAATTTCGAATAGGTTTTTACATTAAGTTAAATACAAAACGAAAAACAATTAAACAAAAACTGCTTATGTGGTAGGTACGTAGTTGGATGGGATGGTATAGGAGTTGTATATTATAATGGGAAATTGTCAATAAGAGAGGGAAGCAAATTTCACAAACAAAGATTCTAAAAGGAAGGACTGGTATGCAAACAATTTGCACATATTTTACAAGTAGGCTGTGAATAGCAAGTTCTAAAGCAATATATTGTAGCAGAAAACAATATTTTAGTGAAGAACTTTTTATTTAATTGAAGTAACATTATATTCATGACATACTTGTGAAGCTGCATAAATTTGCCAGAAAACTATTTGCTTTTATGGCAAACGCTAAATGATATTGATCATTTTCATAATGTTTATTCGGTATTTAAAACATTTTACGTACCAATACCGGGACTAAGATTTGCGCCTGAAGTTTAGGGTCTGACTCTGACTAGCACAGCTAAAACTTTCCACATTTTTGTGGGATTTGGAAAAAAAATAATGAATTGACTAATAAATTTAGAACTGCTTAGAGAGGGGACGTGCTTAACTCGAATTCCATCTTCTTGGTTCTATTTTGGACGATGATATGCAGTTCCTGACAGCTTGAGTTTGTGAAATTTGCTTCCTTATACTCAGGACTCTTAGAATTGGAATGGGTTTGGGAAGGGGTAAATAATATGGTGCAGTTGAAAAAGTTTATACTAAACATTTACAGCCAAATAGCCAGATAGAAAGTAACTAGAAAATTTTGAAAATAAGCTAAATCCGCCAGTGCGTTTGAGGAGTTCTTTTGGGGTCACATTTACACATGGATTAATGTGCGATTGATATATAAGTATGTGTGAGAATCTTTCAAACACTGTTTGGTCAATTGGGTCGAGGGTGTGAATGGCAGTTGACAAATTATTCGAGTACTTACCTTGGCTTTCTGCTGCTGTTTGAGCTCTTCCTTCTTATAATTGCGCTGATAGGCGGTTATAACGCGACGCAATCGTGTGTTTAGATCTTGCATTGATGGCCACATTGTGGCATCCTCGACGGCCGCCAGTGTCGGCGGATAACTGCCGGCAACGCTTTCCTCCTCGTCCAAGCCTAAATTTGAGTTGGAGTTAGCATTTTCGCTGCAGTTTTGACCTGCCTCGCTGCCACCAGTGGCTGCTGCAGTTGTTGTTGTTGTTGTGGTGGTGGTGGATGATGGGGTTGAAGTAGAATTGGTGGTAATGGTGGTAATAGTAGTAGTAGTGGTATTGGTGGTGGTGATGTTTGTGGTGGTAGCGTTAGTGCATGATTCAGAGCCCGCTTGCGCGTCTGGGATCTGGGCAATGGCAGGACCGTCGACGTCGGCGGCGCTTGCGGCAGCCTCAGCAGGGACTTCTGTGGCATTTTCGCCCGTCTTGTTGGCGGTCGCGTTGCCTGTTTCCGTTTCCGAATCCAATGCCAATGTCGGCTTAGCCGCTGCAGCGGATGCATCCGCATCCATTGAGCTGGAGTCTGCCATATCGACATCGGTGGCAGGCTCCGCAGTGCCATTGGCATCCACTGCAGCAGGCTCGGCGCTTTTTGATTTTGCATTTTCTTTAGTATCTGCCGATTCTGTGACCGCGTCCGCACTGGCTGCCACTTTAGCGCCCGCATCGAGAGCGCTGCCATTGCCCGCAACCGCAGCATTATCCTCGACCGCTTTGGCGTTCGGTTCGCTGTTACTTTCGCTCTTACCCGACGAACTGGGACGCTCCGGATCAAGCGAGTCCTTGTTGTCGCCGGCCGTTAGCTTGGTGGAATCCGAGTCTTTGGTGGCGGTGCCATCATCATCGACTTCATCGCCGTCATCGTGCTTGGAATTTGCATCGTCTTCGTTTCTGTGAAAACAAAATGGCCAAAGGTTACTAATTGCCTGTAAACGGGGAAGGGGGAGATCGGAGCAAGGGCAAGGCTAAGCCGTTTATATAATCATGCCAAACAGAAATTGCAGTTACATTGAGAAAATACACACAAAGACACTCCTTTTCTTCAAATATCGAAATGAAATGATTTAGCGCATTATCCCATCAGTGAATGATTGGGTGGGCGTTTGTGTGTGCAAATGAATCCTTCGCGTTTCCAACCAGCTGACATTAGTACTGGTGGCTTATGGAATGGCTGATTATGGGGGTGTTGAAGCTTGCATGGAATCAAATTGAAATATTTTTGGGCCTTATTTTCCCAATTCCATTCTAACCGATTTCATCACGTCATTCGTTTTCTGTTACTCGGTTGGGGGAATTAAAGAATTCTTGGAATATAATTTCAAATAACGACGAACGGAGGACACTTTAATTTGATTTCATGCTAATGTGTGTTAAATTATGAGTGTTTCTTAGACTTACATCGGCAAATTCGTGACGGCCAAATCATCACCGGCACCGGCGCCCACATGAGTTACAAAACATAAGTTTGGATCGGCGCGCATTTGACGGTACATTTCACAGCCATGCTTGTAGGTTCCAACCAACAGACTCTTATCACAACAAATGGGATTCCACCATGACGATGGCACTTGATCGGGCGTTGGCGGCGGGCGAATGGGGAGCTCGCTACATGATTGAATATATGGGGGTAAGATTTAATTTGCAAAGAAATGCGTATTTAGTAACAAAATAATTTTAAAACGTTCAGGTATTTTTTTGTTGTTGTTTCTAAATAAATTAAACAAAATAATAATTTAAAAGAAAAACTAAAAGAAATTATAATTTTGTATTAAGAGCCAATTATCATTTTGAACTACACAGATTACAAGGTCTAAACAAATTAGAGGAACTCAAGAGCATTTAAAGCTGCGTTTTGCCACATCGATTTGAAATTTGGAAAATTATATTGCAAGTAATTTGTTTTTGTTTTAAATGTTAATGCACGAGCTGCTGGTAGCGTGGTTTTCCCTATTCGCCTTCACAGTTTTGCTTGGATGGGCGTGCGTGCGTGCATGTTGATGGATTGTCTTTGGTTTTTGGTTTTACCTTTCCAGATTGGGTGCAAGTTGTTTTGATTGGGTTCTGCTGCAGTCGTTTTCCAAGTACATATAGGCACATATACACACATAGTGTTTTTTATTTAGATTAGCAATTGGAATTTTTTACGTTAGGGGGGTATGTAAACAACAAAACACAGCGAAACAAATTCAAGGCGTTCGAAATTAAACGCCCAGTTAGTTGGAGAAGTAGAGTTATTACGTATGTAGTATATATATATAGAGAGTACAACAGATGTGTGAGTACGATTATGTAAAATGTATTAAGAGAGTGATCTAAATTGTTTCAAGTTGAGCGGCACACAAACATTAAGAGCGTTTAAAATTCAAATAGTACTTAGATTAGATTACAAGAGATAGACTTATAGAGACAGGCAACTTGGTCAACAACTTGGTTTAAAGGGCTCAAATATATTCAATAAATTGGCATTTTTAGTATTAACAAAATAAAATAATAATAATATTAACAAATTAATGAATTATGAATAATTACCAGTTAGAGTTTGTAGTGATTCTACAAAAGGAGCAGAACATGTTAATGTTAAAAGAAAATAAATCAAACTCAAATAAAAACGATCAAAAAACTATAAGAAAAGAAATGCTTGACGACAGCAAACATCAACAATAACAACATTCGTAACTAGGCCAGTCAAGCTGGGAGTGTGCCTACCTGATGGGCGTATTATCCTTAATCTGCTGCACTAAATCGCCGATAACCTCGTGCTGAATATAGTAGAGCATGCGCACGCGCAACAGCACCCTGTGAAATGAGATGACCACACACGAAAATAATAATTGAAAAATAAAATACATTTAATAAAATGATGAGGGAGTAGCAGAGCAGAAAAGAGCAAAAGGAAATAGTTGAAGTTGGGTTAGCAAAAGTCGGCCTGCGATTGGGTTAGCTAAATAAATTCGATTCCACACGACTCACTTATTCGCGTGTCTGCTTAAATGCTTCTTGTAAGCGCCCTCCAAATATGCGTCCGCATCGTACTTCTCCTTCTTACTCCAATGATTTGGATCGTGTATGGTCATGATGGGATTGCTGACGGCAGCTGCCACAGCACTGGCACTAATCGCATTACTGCTGTTGCTCACTCCGGCCACATCCTTTTCACTGTTGTTGCTGCTACTGCCCTCCAGGGCACTCGGCTTATGGGCGGGGGTCGTATTGCCGCTATTACTGCCCGACGCGGTTCCAGGCGCTGGAGTTGTATTGCCCGCCGAATCCTTTTGTGCCTTGCCACCATTTCGTCCTGCAAATTGTAAGTGTGGCATTGTTTTTTGGGAGAATTAGCAAAAGCGTCTATTTTGATGGAACCGCTTGCAGTGAAATCATCAATCAATGAAAGCAGCCAATGGTAGTGGCAAACTATTGATGAGTTTGAAGGATAAACTACTTGATCAGTCAATTTTACAAATGGGGCGCACTACTCTATATAGGCGGTTAATATGCATATGGTTTATATTTACATAAGTACATATATATTTATATGCTTGTTAACTACAAAAATCAGGGACCGCAAAAACAGTTATGGATTAAGTTTTTAACAAAAATAAAAAAATGAGGGTTTAGTTTAAATTTGACCTCTTAAGGATTTCAAATAATTGCATTAAGATCAAAAGAATAAACTGATTTCAACTATTTGAATTATGATCAAAAATTGTGGGTCTGTTTTGATATTTATCTGAGTTTCTGGTGGGAAATAAAACTGAATTTTATATTTCCAATATTTCATCTTACAATTTAATAATTCTTTGCTCTATAAATGGTATTATCTTATATTATTATTTATTAGTTATTCGACATGGTGTTCACTAAAACTCTTGTAAATATCAATCAATTCCCATAACCGTTACGGTACCTGCTACAAATGATTAGTAATGGAAAATTTTGGAAAAATCTGTTAGGCAAAGGAAGGCAATGTGATAAGCATGTACATTATAATATAATAGTATAAAATAATAATAAAAGGTAGTAGTAAAAGGCATACACAATTGCATGGCAACAAAACATACACACACTTTTTGTCCTTCATTCTTGTTGTTCTGTCCAGTTTTGAAAAGTATGTAAAAAGTCGCGTGCTCATTGAAAAAAAAAAAATAGGTCGTTGGGTTTAGTCGGACAATTAGAGACAGATTGACACATTGTACATGGCCACAAAATGATGTCAGGCGGACAGTTCTTGGTAGAGAAATAATCGTATGTATATAGTAGGGATAGCTCAGCTCACACCAGTGGCAGGTAGCACATGATATACAGTTTAATAACAACTAATTTATACACAGTACAGTTACACTACACAATTACATCGCTGCTCATCTTAGGTCGGATATCCAGTTATCAGTTGCTGGTAGTAGAATTAGGATATTGGAAAGTTATTCAAATAGTCGAGAGAGCCCAGCTTGCGATAGTGTGGTATTTTGTACAATATTTCTATGTAGTTTATAGATGGCAGCTCGTAGTTCGAGGCAGCTCGATTTTTTTTATAACTCTACGTCCGTGCAGCAGTTTAAGTGCGTGAATGTATCTTTTACCATACCTTTGGCATTCCTACCTCGTGGCACCAAATTGTGTAGGCCACTATGATCCCTGCTGATCTTCTGCACCTCGCCATCCTCGGTGGGCGTTATCAAGTCCCAAATGAAGGTCTTAATCTTCTCGTCACCCTTGTATACCTGCAGGCAGTACAGCAGCTAAAAATCAGATGAGAAATGTTTCACATTAACGCATTGTGTTCGATAAATGAGTATGACCTAGCACTGTGGCAATATCAGCAGGTTGAGAAGTTTTGTTTTTACTCAGCGAAAACCTAAAGTTTCCTCAATATTAGCATGGTTGGTCATCACGTGGAAGAAGGTATGACTGAAGCGTACTGTACGTTTACTTACAATGATGCGTGCACAGTCCTCAACGTCGATATCGCGCCAGCCGCGCTTAAATTGTCCCAACTCGAGCAGTTCTGTCCAACGACCCCAGCTGGAAGTAGAAGATAAAATGTTATGTTGAATTATTTAGTTCAAACAGACCTACATAAGAATACTAATTGTTAAATATGTATATTCCCCCGTTATACTTGATTGGAATCTATTATTTTAGTAGGCTTTGTAGAGCCCGTCGAAATATTGAAACTCACATTTCTATTGCACAAATTCAACTCCAAATATTTTAATAACTCACGTAAAGTACATAGAAAGATTTGAAATAGTTATACACGTTTATTACACGCCACAACATGAGTATATCTGAGCACAGTCTTCACATAGCGAACTCGCTTCGCTCGGCCACCTCTGACGCCAAGTCCTTGCTCAGCAAGTCGCAGATGATTGATGTGCCACAAGACCTGGATATTCCGGCAATATGTTACAAATATTATTTGGATGACTACCACAGTTGCACCGACGAGGAGCGCGAGCGTATTCACGAAAAATTGGATGCATTGGAAATGCTACGCACCATTGATCTTTTGCACAATGATTTGGCAACATTGCGATTGGAGAATTGTATTTTGGTGGACTTTTTGGAAAAGAATGATCCCAAGCTATTGATCGGTTTACGCCAGCGTCGCACCTCTATATTGAAAAAGCTACAGAACAAGAATCAACGCGTATCGCTCGCCGGCAGCCAGCCACAATCCAGTCGCCACTCGAGCTCGAAGCGCTCTATGGCCATATCAGCGTCCATAGGTACGGGTACGGAAAAACGAAAGGCAATCGATTATAGGCTGAACTATAAGGCCAAAGCTGAAATGGCGGAGAAAGCCGCCGCTGAGGTGGAGAAACGTGTGACTGACATTGAGCGCAATGGTAAGTGACAGCAATATAGGATGAGACGCATTCCTTTTAACAGTCCTAACCCGTTTATTTAGCCATGGTTGAGGTTAAGCAACTACGGGCTAAAATCGAAGAGCTGCGCTTTCGCAGTGAGGAGACGATTGAGACAGAGAAAAACTTTATTTTGCATTTTTTGCGTGACGAAAACGATGTTGCTTTCTTGGAAACGGCAACGGAGCGACAGATTGAGCGCAAATTCCGCAAGTTTACGGCCAATTGGTTTAAGAATGCACGCGCCCTACTTGGTACCATGCGACTCACCATCATATCGCTACAGGAGACTTGTCAACAGCATCGGGCAGATCTCATTACCAAGGCCGATCTTAGCGGCATTCTGACAGCCGTTGACTTCGAGAAGCTGATAATTAAACGCACTGAGCTGCTGAACGAGCTGGAGGAGAAGAGCAATCACATGGCCGGACTCAAGGGTGTCACCGGTAAGACTAGCCTGTCCATGACCGAGGAAAAGCAGGTTATGATGAGTCTAGAGGCTGAGATGCGAAATGTGGTTACCAGAACCGAAGACGTTACTCGCGCCATTGCCAAGCTGGAGAAGGAGGTCGCCTTAGTGCAGGATAACAACAAAAAGGACCGCGTCGTTCTCGCTCAGTTGCGCACTCAATTGTACGATTATGAGGCACCAAGCGTTGCCGAATATATTGAACGCAAGGAGGAGGCCCTAATGCTCGACAAGGAGGAGAAAATGTTGCACCGCAAAATCTACATACTTAACATGAAGCTTAACAACGCGTTGCGACGTTGCAAGCGAAATTCCAACAAGTAAAACGAGAGCCCGCAAGGGATACACAAGCAAACGAATACGAAAAATAAAATTGTTTCCGAGTTATGATTTGTGCACTTACCCGAACGATAGTAGTCCTTTCTCCACCTTAAAGCACTCGGACTTGGCCCAGTTGCCATATTGGATTTCCTCGAGTCCCAATGCTGCTAGAGCGTCACGCTCGCGCGGTATATACTCATCGTTTGCCTTCTTTTCGCGACCACGATCGCGCTTCTCCTTTCGTCGACGTGAGCGTAGACCTGTAATTTCGAATAATTGGTTAGTGTGCACGATATGACAAAGTGTTTAAGATTCAATTTGAAACTGTTTGTCTCTAACGTGTCTACCAAATTTAGTTTACTTACCAATGCCACCTTCCTCGTCACTATTTTCGTTTGAAGATTCCTCTGAATTGATTTCCATAACATCTTCATGACCATATCGTTTGATTTGTGTGCGACGACGCGGCTCTGAAAGAACAAGGTCCTCGGTTTCGTCACGCTCGCACGCATCAGGATCAATATCGGCTCGTTTGGCCCACTTAGTCCAAAAATCGGGATCATCAATTGTAATATCGGAGCGGTTGCCAGAGGCAGCGAAAGATGCTTTCGAGAATGTCGATCCTTTCTCCGACTCCATGGTTATAACCTGAGTGCGACGTTTTAAGATCGAGTCAATGTCTTCTTCACAGAACTTGTCGCCTGCATTATCATCGTCCATAACGGCACCGTATGCACCCTTCTTAAGGAGATCCTCAATTTCTTTCTTTGACAATTGCTTGTTACTGCCGTCCTTCGACGCATGTGTGTTCATCGATTGCAGCACGGCCTTGTCAAGACCTAGCTTCATGGAGGCCTTATCGAACATTTCGCGTTCATATGTGTTTCGACACAAAAGACGATAGATCTTCACCATTTTACGTTGGCCAATGCGATGGCAACGTGCCTGTGCTTGCAAGTCGTTCTGGGGATTCCAGTCAGAGTCATAAATGATTACGGTATCAGCGGCAGTCAGATTAATACCTAGGCCACCAGCTTTAGTACACAACAAGAACACAAAGCGATCAGAGCCTGGTTTTGAATAGCGATCAATCGCCTCTTGACGTAAGTTGCCTCGAATGCGACCATCGATGCGTTCGAAAGGATATTTTCGATAGACCAGGTAATCTTCCAGTATATCCAGACAGCGAACCATCTGACTGAAAATGAGCACGCGATGCCCATTAGCCTTTAATTTAGGCAGCAGTTTGTCAATCAGAACCATTTTGCCGGCCGACAGAATAAGGTTTTTGTAATATGACTCAGGATCCTCGCCGTGCTGGGATTTAAAGTCGTATTGTATTTGTTCTTCGGCACCATTTAGTAGATAGGGATGAATGCAACATTTGCGCAACTCCATCATAGTGTTCATCAGATTTGGTATATTTGCGGAGGTTGTACCCTTTTTGAGGAAACTGAAATTCTGCTCCAATATGCCGCGATAGTATTTCTTTTGTATATTGGTTAACTCCACCTCAATGATGGTCTCTTCCTTCGGTGCCAGAGACTTTTCCACGTCATCCTTTAGACGACGCAACATCATTGGCTTCAGTAAAGCCTGTAGTTTGTTGACTTCTTCTTCGTTACGCAGGTTTCCGAACTCGGACATGAATTCTTCCTGTGATGAGAACTGACTCGGCTCAAGGAAGTTGAGCAGCGAGAACAGTTCACTTATGTTATTCTGTAAGGGGGTGCCAGAAAGCAAGACACGATGCTCCAGATTTAGTTGACGTAGACCCTCAAGGAGCTTGCAGTTGCGATTCTTCAGGCGATGTGCTTCGTCAATGACGCATAGGCGCCAGTTGAATGCTTTTAAGTCCATGTAATCAGTGACAATCATTTCAAATGTGGTGATAAGGACGTTAAACTTTATAGGCTCCTTTAGTACTTTTCCACTGTCGGCCTTGTAATAAAACTCATAGTCTTGGATCATTTGCTTACTGGTAACTGAGCCATGATAGACCACAACGTTCATATCTGTCCAGCCCTCGAACTCGCGTTGCCAATTTGGTATTGTCGAGAGCGGTGCAATTACCAAGAATGGTCCACGTATGCCATATTCATACACTGAATGCACAAATGTGAGACTCTGAATGGTCTTACCCAGACCCATTTCGTCGGCTAAGATGCAGTTGTGCGAATTGTACCACGAGAATTTAAGCCAGTTGAGTCCCTCCAGTTGGTAGGGGCGTAAGCTATTGCCGCCCTTATATATGGGCGTTTTCTCAAGCTTTTTCCATTGTTCGGGATGTGGACGTTTGCGACTCTTCCATTCACAACGCAGAGGTACTTTATTGAAACGCAAATACTGCTCGATCTTATCGTCATCTACGTCCTCTTCCAACTCCCAGGTGCAGTCTTCGTAGGGTAGTGACTTCCACTTAACTAGATAATGCTTTGTGGTCTCGCCACTGTTCTCGTCTGTGTGCACAGACATGTCTAGGACACGATCCACTTCCACAAAATCTGGATTAAAAGGTTCCTCCTCGATATTTTCAAAGATGTTTATCTGCTGCGACTGCTTTTGCTGGAATCGTCTAATTTTGGCTGCAACGCGACGGTCGCCTTTCAGCAACTCCTCCTCGGTGCGCCACTCGCAATGGAGGTAACTGAAGTTCCGGTACTTTACAAAGTACTCCTCTACGTCAATGAAAACAGGTTCCGGTTTGTTTGTGGTATCTGTCGTGGCTGTTTCTGTTTTATCAGACTCACTCTTTTCATCTCCTTCACCATCTTCTTTGATTTCTGGTTTAGCATCGTTCTCTGTGCCTTCACCCTCGCCTTCCTCAGACGACTTTTCCTTTTCACCTTCGACTGCAGGTTCTTCGTCTGCCTTCGGAGATTTGACAGGTTCAGCGTCTACATCCATTTTGGTATCATCAGCTGCTACAGATGATTCATTTTCCGACTTAACTTCAGGAGTCTTTTCATCCTCGTCGCCGTGCTCAGATTTCACTTCATCTGGCGAGGCTTTATCAGCGATTTCCTCGGACAACTTTTCTGCAACATCGTCAATTTTGGTTTCTTCCGTTTTATCATCTGGTTTTTCTTCAGTATCAACATCCATTTTTTCTTCTTCTACTTCTGGTTCTTTGTCTTTGACTGGGTCCTCACTTTCAGATTTATCAGCCGTTGATTCTGCAGACTTCTCCGCTTCGTTTTCATCGACTTCCATTTTGGCTTCGACCTCTGGTTTTACATCATTTTCACTCTCTTCCTTAGTACTTTCAATCTTCTCAGCTTCGTCCACTTCGCTTGCTTCTTTAATTTCATCATCAGCTTTTTCCACAGTCTCATCCTTTTTCTCATCTTCCGCCTCATCAGCTTTGGGTTCAGGAGTTTTAGCCTTGGGTGCCGGTGGTGGCTCCGGTATTAACTCTCGCTTGCCCATGCGCATTGCGAGTACAAATTGTACCACCATGCTATCCTCGTCGCCAGTGTTAATGTAAACGTAGTTGGGCTTAGAGGACATGGCAGCAACAGCGACTTCTGTTGAGCTCTGTCGCTCCGCTTTTTCTGTCGAGGTGCTGGAACTAGCTTCGATCTGAGTAGTTTCGTCAGTGACCACAGGTGCCTTATCTTCGCCAGCCGAGCTGCCAGCCTCACCCTCGGCACCGGACTGTGGCTCTGCTTTCTCTACATCGCTGCCAGCATTAGATGCTGCGACAGCCGCATTAGCTGAAGACTTTTTCTCCTTCTTGACAGGCGAAGCAACTAGGAGTGAATTTTCATCATCGGAGAAGCGCAGCATAACATCATCGATATATTTCTTGCGCTGAGTATTTCGCGAAGAACGTCGCTTGTTTGAGTCCAATTCCGAATCTGGTGGCGGTGAAGGTGGTGGAGTACGATCCATTGTATCGTCTTCACCGTCTGACTCTGGTACAATGCGTCCACGATTCCGACGTTTCTTGAGTGCCTTCGCCGAGAGTGCACCACGACGACGTGCACTACCGCCATCCTCAGAGGTTGCACTGCGACGACTACGACCACCACCAGAACGTTTTCTATCCCGCCGACTGGGAGTTGTGGCTGCATCGCCTGCAGAATCAGGCACTGAGTCAACGGTTTCGTCCCCGGCCTCAGCATCTTTGTCCTCATCGTTGGTTCCACGTGGTATTTTTGAAACTGGTATGTCATCATAGTCTGGAGATTCACCATCAACACCGCCCGATGTGGTCTCAGCTTCACCATCAGCTCCAGCGGTCTTTGGTACCAGCGGCTTGTTGTCTTCGACCTCGCTGCCCTCGCCCGTCTTCTCCGCATCATCTTCTCCATACTGTTTGCGTCGTTTAGCAGTTCCGGTACGCTTGCGTCCAGTACTCGGTGAGTCGGTAGAGTTCGGATCATTGGGATCACGAACTTTCTTGACTTTCGGCGTTCGTTCACGTGGCGGCTTGTTTGGATCCTTTGGCGTGCGTGGCTTGCGAGGCTTTTTCTTCTTGCCAGTTCCATCTGTTGAAGTATCCAGCTCATTAGCCGAGTGCACATCTTGTGACAAGTCGCCCATTCCCTCACTGTACTCCAGCATACCGACGACACTTGTGTCGCCAGCTCCCTGCGTAACGCAGTCTTCGGAAACTGGCAGCTGGGTTGTGGGAATAGATGCACTAGCTGCTACTATGTTGCTACTAATATCCATTAGATCGCCCGACGCCTGCTGCAGAGCTTTCTCGCCTTTTTTGGCGCGCGGTTTGCGTGGTTTGTTTGTACCCTTACCACGTCCACGTCCTGTGGTGCTTGAGACCTGCGGACTTTCCACCATTTGGTTATGGATCGCACTGCTGCCATACATGGGTGGCATAGTCTGGAACATCAGACATTGTGGGCCGCCCGCGCACTGATCGTTAACCTCATGCTGTTGCAGCAAATTCAAACGATCCTGTAATCGTAATATCTTTTCCTGATGATCATGTCCGGGTGGCATGCAATAGAGTTCCTGTAGTTGCTGCTGCAGTGCCGCAATCTCTTGCTGGTGTAGCATGGGGTATGGTGGATACATTCCGCCGCCCGGATACGGAGGCAACATGGGTGGTATGTGCTGCTGCTGTTGTGGGTCATACCCTGTTATGGGGTTTGGTGGTATGGTATGATGTGGTGGCAAGCCAATGGTCGGCTGCTGTATTGGCACTGGCGGCTGTGTACCTGGACCAACAAGTGGCGTTATATTGGACTCCGTCGTTGCAGGTTGTGACTTCTCATCATTAATGCCGCTAATATGACCGCCGAGTGTCATTTCTTCGGCTGACTTAGTCTCTTCACCGGCCAATTCGCTGGCAGTTTGAGGCAGCAATTGGGTCTGTTCAGTATTTGCTGGCTCTTCCGTCTGCTTTGTTGTTTCGCTGTCTTCCTGCATGGGCACCTCTGCGAGCGGCTCCTGGTTTTTGGACACGCTAGAGTCGTCCTGAGCAAGACTAAGCTCGGCTGTCGCGGCCATTGTAGCTGGTGCATCAGCTTCGCTTCCTACCTTTTCAAAGTCTCCAGCTACTGTGCTGCGCTCATTAAAGGTAGATGACTGCGAATTGCTGTCCAGCAGAGCCGCCGCGGCGGAAGCGGCATTTGAAGCAGCCGCTACAGCTGCGCTCGTTGATGACATGGAGTTGTTGTCAAAGAGGCTCGCACCGGCACTATCTAGTAAGCCACCACCGCCACTAGGGACTCCACCAACATTTGTAGCCGAGTTCGAGTTACTATTCATCATTGCGGCATTGTCCATGCCTGAGAGTAATGGCTGCTGATTGTTACTATTTATAGAACTCTGCGAGTTGCTGTCATGCACTGATGTTGGCTGATTATTTACAATGCTATTGGTGGAGCTGTTGCTGCTGCTATTGTTGCTATCATTGGCGGCCACAGCCAGTGTGGATGAATCATTAGAGTTGGCAGTCTCGTTGAGTATGCTGCTTAAATGATGCGAGGGTGTCGATGGTGTGGGTGGGTTAGGCTGACTCTGTTGCTGTTGCGCCTGCTGCTGTTGCTGTATTTGTGGTATCGGAGAACTGACATGAGCCGGCGACATGGTCTGAGGCTGTGCTGCAGCCTGGTGTGACTGTGTATCTGCCAATATATTCGCAAATGGATCAAACTGTTGCTGTTGTGGTTGCGAAGGAGGCGCCTGTTGCGCCGCCTGGCCATAAGATTGCTGTTGCTGCTGCATATGATGATGCGGCGACTGTTGTTGATGTATGGGCGATTGATGCTGCAGCTGATGAAGTGGTGAGTGATGTTGAGGCGGCTGTTGCTGCTGCTGTTGGGATGGAGGTGGTTGTTGTTGCGAGGTGGAGGTTTCAATAGCTGGCGTTTGGCGAGTCAGCAGAGCTGTAGTTTCGCCAGTCAGCTGCTGCTGCTGATGATGCGACGTCAGATGATGCATGCTGGGCAGGCTTTGCTGATGCAGTGGCGACATGGTGGTCAATTGAGACTGTTGCTGTTGCTGCTGATTACCACCGCCAACAATATCATTGATGGAATGCTGCAATTGCTCGTTGAGTTGCTGCTGCTGCTGTTGTTGTTGTTGCTGCTGCTGTTGTTGCTGTTGGTGTTGCACAGGTGGCGTCGGCTGCGCTGGAGTGCCGGGGACCTGCTGCGCCGCCTGCTGTTGCTGTGGTGGCTGTGCCTGCTGCTGTTGTTGCTGCGGCGGTGGTTGTTGCTGCTGTTGCTGGTGGCTCATGCTCTGAGTCTGACCATACATGCTTAGCTGGGCCTGATGCTGTTGGTGCTGCAACTGTTGCGATGCACTCAGACCCATTCCACTAGGGTTCTGTTGTGGTGGCGGCTGCTGAGCCTGTGTCTGTTGCTGCATGCCCATGTGTGGTGCGCCCCATTGCTGATGATGCTGTGGAGAGGCTGGCATTCGTGGACCCATGGCGGCTGCATGCGCTTGGCTCGCGCTACGATATGGCGAAGGATAGTCCATGGGCACACCGCCAGGACCTGCCATAACTCCTTGTGTTGGCATGACCATTTGTTCTAGAGCTTGCAATGTATTAACAGGCGGTACACTTGCGCCTCCGCCCTTGGAGCTTGCCGCACTCACCGCAGTAGGGGGCTGTGGGCGTGGTGATGGTAAACCGACCATGCCTTGAATGCTATGCTGGCTGGGTGTGTTGACCTGCTGTTGTTGGGCCTGCTGTGCCGTTTGCGGTGGTTTGGCCGGGGATACACCAGGGCGTGGCGACATTTGTGGATGTGGCGACATTGTGGGCGGTCGCGGCGACATCTGAGGCGAGAGTTGTGGAAATGGCGCGCGATATTGCGGCGATGAATTAAGCTGAGCGGCTGCCTGATGTTTGCTGCTGGACATGTACGGCGGTGCGCTCTGTTGCTGCTGAGCCTGCTGCTGTTGCTGTTGTGCCTGCTGCTGCTGTTGTTGCTGATGATGTGAGCTATAGCTTGGCGGCATACCCATGTGTGGAGGTGGCAGACCAGCACCCGGCAGTTGCTGCTGCTGGTGACTGGCTGCTGCCTGCATGAGGCTGACATGATTGGGTTGTTGCTGCTGTTGCTGCTGCGCTTGTTGCTGTTGTTGTTGCTGCTGCTGCTGACTTTGCAACTGCTGCTGCTGCTGTTGTTGCTGCTGCTGGGGCATATGCGCACCAGGGTGAGCTCCAAGCTGCGCAGCCTGCTGCTGCTGCGCAGTTAGATGATGTGTTGGTGGTGCTGCACTGGGGACGAGTTGCCCATACGGGGACGCTTGGTCCAGACCGGCATGACTGGCGTAGCCCACATGTTGTGGCGCGCCTCGGCCGGGCTGATGCTGCATGGGACTGCCATACGGACTGTGCGCATAGGGTTGGGGTGCGCCAGGACCGCCTGGTTGACCCGCTTGCGTTGGTGCACCCGGATAAAGAGGATGTTGACCGGGCGCTTGTGGATAATGCTGCGGCAGACGAGCCTGCTGCTGACTCTGCTGCTGCTGTTGTTGTTGTTGCGGCGTTGGCGGCTGCTGCTGTTGTGGTGCCAAACTGCCATAACCACCAGCACCGACGCCGACACCTACTCCTACACTGGCACCCGGCTGCTGCAATAAGCTGCCCATCATGCTTTGTTGCGCGCCATAGGGCAACTTTTGCTGCTCCTGTTGTCCATAGGCGGGCATGTGCTGGCGATAGGCATTTGCTTGGCTCTGGCGTTGCTGCGTGGGTGGTGCAGCCTGTGGATGACCATAGGCGCCAAGGCCAGCGCCCGGATAAGCGCCTGCCTGGCCGGGCACGGTAGGTGCGGCACCCCAGCCACTTAGATCGCCCATACCCATGCCCGCATGCTGATCGGTGGCCCCCAGCCCGTACAGGTTCTCCGCCGTTGGCTGGTACGATGGGTATTGTGGTTGCTGTTGTAGCGGATGTGGCGCCCGATGCCGTGTCGGATAGCCACCGGGTGGACCCATCGCACGCGGATTGGCCGCGGCGGCAGCTGCTGCGGCGGCGGCCGCGTCATAGCGGTAATAGGGGTCGCTGTAAAGAGCAAACAGATAATAAAAGTCAGTTTATATACGATTTATCTGGTCACACGTTGATACGTTAAGGTTGTATAATAAGCAATTAGCCAGGTTTATTTTGGATATTAGGCATAACAAAGGTTTTCTATATGCATTATTATAATTTTTTTTTTTTGAAACTGTGGGGCTACTATTGAAATTTGTATGTTATAGCTAAGGATTTACAACTTATTCGTTAATAGAATTTCAATATAATCTTGTTTGTTTTGTGGCTTTCGTTGAGAGCAGGATTTTCTGTATTTTATTACACATAACAAACAAAAAATGCAGGATCGAAAAGGGAAATCTTATAAACTCAAATTTTATTGCATTTTCGGTTTAAAGATGGCTACTTATCATGCAACCCACGCAAAAGGGAACAGGTAGTGCGCCAAGCCGCCCCAACCAAATAAAAAGAAGGGTCGGTTGGCAGTCTGAAGGCAGCGTCTCGCAACAAACAAACAAACAAAACTCACCCTTGATGATTTCCGTGAAACATATTTTGTGCATTTCCATCCATCAGATTTTCGAACGCAGCGCACACAGAAATGTCCGTTTCGCGTCGTTACCCGCCGCTTCTGGATGGAGGTCTGTTGGCTTAATTTTGATGCTGATGCTCTTCTGCTGCTGTTGCTGCCACTGCTCGGTTTGCGTGTCCGTTGTCAAAGCTGCTACAACCGCTGTTTTTTGGGGGTGTTTCTCTCTTTGATCCGTCGTATCGTTCCTGTTTGTCTTTCGGTCTGTCGGCGTTCGGTCGGCCCTTTGGTTGTTGGCTGCTGGCTTTTGGCGGCCACAACAGCACACCATACGCCGCCGACGCTCACGTCGAATGTCGCGCAGGTTGTGCGCGGCGTGGACTCATTTAAAACCCCCCGTACAGGGTCTCGCACAGTGCTGGACAACACGAAACAGTCAGTGGCGACAATGACACTCAATCTGACAAGTTGAAGGCTTCCTTCCGTCCTCCCTTGTTGCTGCTTTCTGCGACTGCTTCTCCCCGTTTGCTTAATATGTCAATCGCTTTGCTTTGACTTGGATTTTAAATTTCAACTAATAACTTTTAATAGAGTTGACCGTCTTTGTGTTTTTGTCTGCACTCATTTATATGTTTGTTGTAGTATTTCCTATTGATATATTTAATGTTGTTGTTTTTCTTGTTGTCCTAGTAGTGGTAGTTATCGACATATTGACATATTCGCAGTGGTTTATACACTCACAGCTGTATGAAAAGGAGGGAATTTAGTTAGAAAAAAATGATTAATGAGTAGAATTCAATGTTAGGATAATTTTGGATCACACAAGTCCGATGTATTGAGCGTAATTTGTGAGCGTATTTGCATTTGCAGTTCGTATTCTGCAAAGAGAAAAACAAAGTGCACAAGTTCCATTAGTAAACAATTACAATTCATGTTTAATATTTATGCTATAGTTACGATCGGTCAGTTAACGAAATAAAATATCATTGGGGTGCAAACACAACCACCAGCATATTTTCACCCTCTAACCTATAGCTATTGACAATAGACAATAGCTATTCCTGCCAATAATTGAAAATTATAATAGATTTTGTCGAGAAGCGTGTGACCACACAGCTTGCGGAACATAAGGTTCTTCAAAATTTTCTAAAACCAATGCAACTCTGGCTCCAGGCTGATTGGAATTTCATTACAAGGATAGCCGTTTTAGAATAAGAGTTTGTTAAATATTTTTATGTTATCGAACTGTAATGTCAAAATTTAGTAGATAGCCATTCGCTGAGCCACTTATTTGGACTTACTAGACTTATTTGCCCGTTCTTTCGTTGAGCAATATTATTATAGGGTGTTACTATCAATAGAGAAACTCGAAATATACATAGATAAATGGAATATTTGCTAATGATTCAGTTACCCCAATTGTTCAAAATTATAAATAGCCCATCATCCCTTTTTCTCCGTTAATATGATCAGCCCAATAGGTTTGACGGACAATTACATATTTTCATGTACAATATAAAGTTATTATGAAACCAGCTATTAGGGCATTACGATTGGCCTAATTGCTCGTATAAAGAGCACGAAAGAGGGCTTAATTGTACTAAATGAGTTATTAAATTAAATATATTAAACACATCTTCAATTAAATAGAATGAAATATCAGCTATTGCTACCAAAAGTGGCTTTTTAGAATTGCGGAGGAGCGCGGTGTTTTAAATTTATTCGTAAAAATTACTTAACCTAATTAAATCATCTTTTGGTGTTTAAATCGGCTGCGGTTAGTTGCTACATATGAAAAGCGCGGACGTAGGCGGCGTTTTTGAATGTATTGGCCAACAATTATTTACATAATTTATATTATTAAATAAACTGTTGGTGCTAAAAATGTCGTCGATTAACCCCACAGTATGGAAATCATTGGGAATAATTTCCATTGTCGGAAAGTAATATACAGGTCCAACAGATGGCTCTATTTTTAGCTCGCACAAGTGTGACGTCTATGTAAAAGGTTTTCGAATGTAACGTTGCTTTTCCGAAAAACCGGTGAAAATCGGTCGAATACTCAAGGGCACAAAACAAACAAACATTTACTTTTTTATTTACATATAAACTATAGATTTCTTTGCTAAATTTTTTATTGTATCACGGATTTGCTGTTTGATGCTTGCACACAAACTTTTAAGGGGAAAAGCTATACGCTTATGAATTTTGCAATATGCACATACAACGTACAGTTTAACCCCCTAAACTTTGTGCGTGAGTGTGTTAGATTTTACTCTCACCTATTAGATTGTTAAGTTTTCAGATGCATAATGTGACGCGATTTCTCCATCAGAAGTTAAACACAAATTTGTAGTGAATTTTCAGGATTTAATAAGCAAATATGATGCATCGGCAGCACCAACTACCCCACTGACCAAAGGCAGAGAGTGAAAAAGTTCTTCAGAAACGTGAGACAAAGTGTAACTAATTAGCTTCGCATAGATTTTATTCGGGGTGAGTGTAGATGTCTACTACAGTGCTGGCAGTCAGAAATAACCCTTCAGTTGGATGCCATTATGGCTTGACTCGGCAGACTTATAGAGACCTCGCATTCGTCGTCGTCTTTTGGGGAAGCTGCAAAACTTTTAGACGTGTCGGCTTGGTTGGTGGTAAAAAAAAAGAGGAAAAAATGGTAACTCATATCGATTTTTCGCATTGTCTGCTGCGCGTAAAGCCGAAAATGTAAAATAGCAGAGACGAATGCGAAGCTAAAGGATGGGATGTTGCATATCAGTAAGTAGATGCGGGTGTTTCGGTAATGTTGTTGCTATTGTTGTACAACAACAACATGGGCAAAGGCGACGCCTGAAAAAACAGCAGCCAAAAAATGAGCATGGGAGGTAAAAAATAAAAAATTGCGCAAAGCTGTGCGAATAGAAAGTGAGTGCCCAAGTATAAGCGTAGATATAAAAACTACAATGAGCGCAACCACTCTATATACACGGTCTGTCTACATTAGTATTGTATTTCTATAGATATGCAGTTAGTAGCTCACAAACACAAATAAATATACAAACATGCAGATTACGAGAGCGATACGAACCACAATAAGATACAAATTTGCCCCTTAGTGACTGCTCAAAGCACAGGCAAGCTTCTTTAGCGTCAATTTCATATTATGACGAATGCAAAACAGCTATTCAAAGAAATGATAACCATTTAGAAAAATTATAGTATCGTATGCAAATAATCGGGCTGAAATCGAGCGGGTGTTATGATAGGGACATATCTTTTTATTTTTAAGTTGGCAACTTGTGGACTTGTTTTTGTGCTAAAACTTCTAAAAATGTCGTTTTTTGCACCCGGAAGAAATTATTTTGAAGGTGGTAAAAAAGATGTTAATGAATAAATAGCGGTTTTGAAAATAGTGCGGTTCATAATTGTACAAAGTATTAAATTAGGTCTAATTCAAAATATTATAATTTCATTTGGATTATATTGCTATTACAAAGTTCTTTCTTTCAGTTAATTTTTCGACTGTACCGAATGGTTTTAAACGAATTTCTTTTAGGCTCTGCAGACTGTTTTATTACGTTATGCTTGAAGTGAGTGTCTGGCTTACTGAGGCTCAGACGAACGCCCAACTGTCAAATCGCCAGTTCTCTACCCAGCTCGCTCGCACGCTCATTGGGTATTCATTTAGCTGCTGTTGCTGTTGATATGGGTGTTGTTGTTGTTGCTGTAATCAATTACAATTCGCTTTTGCAATTTTAGCTATTTATTTATTTAGTTTCAGTTTTTTTTTTTGCTTTATTATTAGTCAAGTTATTTGGTCTATGCATGTGTGTGTGCGTGTGGCAAAAGTTTTGTATCTGGCAGATACACGTAAGTACCTTACATATGTATGACTATTTATTTTTGTGTTTGTATGTTTGTGGTGGGTACATGTCATTGAGTTTAATTTTTTCTTTCTCGACATCGTTGCGCTTACATATCGAGACAAAAACAAATCAGCCAAGTAATTGCAAAAACAATGAACTAAAAGTAATAGTAATATACATACTATATGGATGTATGTATGGGCTTTGTGTGTGTGTGTGTGCAAACAAGCATTACGTTGGCGTCTACATCTAAAGAGCGACAGCAAATAAACGAAATTTTTTGTGAAATTATATACAACATACCTACATTCATATGTATTCATATGTACATATATTGCTTGTGCGCGCACAACTGTACTTTTGTTTAAATAAGCGAAAAATCGATTAAAGGTGATAATAGAAAAGCAAATTTCTGTGTGTCCAAGTTTGTGACGCGATGTTGTGACCCGACGACGACGACTCGACAGCAACAGCGACAACAACGATGGCTACAACAACAGCAACCCGCGTTAACAACAACAACAACAGCGATACATTTGATGGTCTGCGGCATTAGTAAGTAGCTTTGGTTTGTCTCCGAATACCTTTGCATTTAGGCTTGTATGCTCTGTCTATCTGACTGTCTGTATGTGTTGGTATTAATAGTTGAAAGTGTGTGTGGCAAATGGCGACTTTTTAGCTGCCAGCGACAAAATTTTATGAGCTATGAAAAATGTAACTTTGCAAACGCAGCGACCAAGTGTGTATTTGTGTGTATTTGTCTGCATTTGAGTTTGTCTTTGTTGGGTTTTCAACAAGGTCTCAAATATCACACATTCCGCCTGGTAATGTTTACACAAGTATGTATATAGGCATACATATTTGTATACTATGTATGAATAATGTATTGCACAATGCTTTCGCAAATAATTTAGATGTCATTTTAAGAACTCTTAAGGAAAATTATAATTGTTTAAATAAACACACACGTTTATAGTTATATACAAAAAATAAAAGCACCCACAAATTATTTAAGTAATGACATCAAACCGTTAATGACATCCAAATGGCTATCATAGTCTAAAAATGTCGAACTAAAACCGCAATTACTATTATTTTAACTTTTAATAAATAACGAATAAAATAAATGTAATTTATTTTTAATATGAAACAGAACCGGTCTAGTATCACAATTACTATTTAAATAATAACTAAAAATTTAAATATCTTAAAATAAACCATATATTATTCTAAGATGTATTGCATTGTATTCCCACTCCTTAAAGGTTTACAAATTTTTTGTATGCTTTCATTGAGTCTTTCGTAAATTGGAAACTCAAAGTTTAACTTAAAAGTTAACAACACAAAGTGCCGCTACGTTTCAAGCTAATATCTCAAAGCACAACTCATCGCCCACACATACAAGCACACGCACACATCCTCACAAAAATAATGGTGTAAGGCATGATCTTACTCGTAGCTGAGGTTAAAAAGCAAAACTGAATGAAAAACGTTAAGTAAACACAACAACAACAACGGCAGCGTACACAAATGTAATGTGATAATAAAAAATTTCGCAAAAAAAAAAAAGACAACAACCACAACCAAGCAATAGAGCGACAAAGTTCATTCACCTCTCCAATTATTTATTTAGTGAGCGCCTGTCCATTTTTGGAGGTCTGTTTCTCTTTATTTACATTTTTTTGTATCTTTCGTATACGTTTTAATGTAACGAGCGTTTGGCCTATAATATTTAAATAATGCTTGGGACAGCCTAACCGTACTTTGGTCATGCATCTTTGAAAATTTATATATACAGTAGAGCTTCCTCCCAATGAACTAGAAGAATAATGTACATACATACATATGTAAGTACTTATTTGTATAATCATGAAATATTG